TCGTAACATATATATTCCAAATATTCTGCCAATGAGGCCAAGGTTGGTAACTGCACTAACTGGCATTCCATATTTTCCAATATACAGCTAGACCAATATGTTTTCAAATAATGGAAAAGAATAATGTGTACTGGTTATTGTGCTATGAACCAGTGTTGTAATCTTACAGCTAATAAAAACAAAGAATTTCATTTTTCAATAAAAATCTATGTCATGAAGAAATACATGCCTATGCCATTGATTAAGTTTAATTTTCATTGGTAAGCATGTTTTTTCATGGAAATTGGGGTAGTAGGGTAACCTAGTGGTTAAACTGTTGACACTTGTCACACTGAAGGCCAGGGTTCGATTCCCCCACATGGGTGCAAAGTGTGATGTTGCTGGAATATTGCTAAAAGCAGTGTAAAAGCCAACTCTCTCACTTGGAAACCTTTGCTATATACACTTAAAATGTAATCTCATACATTCATCGTTATATATTTAATGTCAAATCAATATCATGGCTAAAAGCAGAAATCTTCCAAACCATTCAGTTTGTGCTTGCTTTATCCACACTTAAATAACAGTAAACAAGTTTTAGAACTATTCTGCAATTTTATTCCAAAGACATAATTACTCATGACATATCAAACATTATTTGCATTTCCCAGATGCTAAACCTGAACAAATACTGTAACAGTATGAACTGGAATATTTTCATGGTCACTCATTTAAATTCTCACTGAATTATCTGAGAGTCCCAAGATGTCACAAGAAGTTCCTCAACACCTTGATGATGACAAGCATTTCCTGTTCAAGCAAGTGTCCAAAGGATGATCCTAGCTGGATTTACACCATCCCCTCAGCTGCTGACACTTTAGACAAAGTTAGCCATTAAGTTAAACGAACATATATACTATGATTAAAAATGTGGTGAGATTAAACATACTTTGAAAGACGTGGTCTTACATACACTCTCAGGGGGGACAATATAATCCCACTGTAAGATATCAAATGCAGTCAAACGATTCACCAATCTGCACACATGTCAACTCCACCCTTATACTTTATCATCCAAAACTGTGTTCCACAGGAGATATCGCTTGTGTGAGATCAATGGGTCCTAGGAGATATCGTTTTGACAGTAGATTTTGTACAATGCCCTGACAATGCTATGACGTCATGTACTTGATGACGTCACAATGCTATAACATCGCTGCACTACAAGTCCAATGGCAGTACCATGTTCAGAGATGTACATTTTTCATTGATAATTAGTGAAGAGTGATTTTTATGGTGTACTATAATTGCCATCGCGTGGCGCGTAAAAAAAGAACTACGTCGTCGCATAAAAAGACTACATCGACAACGACGTCGTGTACGACGTCGTGCAGAAATACACAAGAATGATCTACGAGAAAAATACAAAATCGACGTCGTCCACGACGTCGATGGCGACGTTACCCACGACGTCGAGGCCGACGTCGCGACGTCGTGTTTAGAAATTGTTATATTGGAAAATCGGGGAATAACCTTTTGTGATGCAGTTGTACTGCTATTGATCTCTAATCACTGATTTCATGTTCAACATTACTACTTATTTAAGTAAACCAACCGAGGGGTTAGTGCCAGAACACCTTAAGTAAAAAATTCTGTCAAATTTATTTGATGTTTGATGTTGTGAAAACGGAGTTGTTTTAAGGGATCAATACACTGGTTTTCTACAAAATGTAAAATGTCTCCACTCAGGAAACGAAATATGACTTTTGTACCAGCGGGTTGACATGTGAACCAGCGGGTTTAGTGAGTGAGTTTAGTTCACTCAGTTCATTAGTAGTGAGTTATTCAATTTCTTACATAAACTTGCAAGCTATAAGAATGTTGGAACTGACAGTTTTCATCATCATTTCCACAACTTCAGTTATGGAAAATGCACAATTGGTTTCTTCATACTTCTCGTGGTGGAACATACATATATGTAAATGGTTATATGTTTATTGTGAACAAGAAGAAAAGGGGAAAATGGATCTCGTGGAGATGCATTCAGAACGACTGCATATCAGTCTTAACAGTGAACGACATAATTTCCCAAATACCTGGAGACCACAACCACGGACCTGTACACAGCGAAGTCAAAGTGAATCTTTTCGACTGTACCAAAAATACTGACGGCCCCTGCACAAACAACAACCTCCGGGGTTGCAATTGGCATGGCCGTCTCAAGAAGGTTGTGGGAAAACAACATCCCAACCTATTCGAGATGGCCAAGTTCTTGACAGATGAACAAGGACTGAACGAGGCAAAGATGCTTCAGTACAATGCCGGCCAAAGACTGTCCCCAAAAAGAAGTACAGAGATTTGGAGGAACGACTAGATACCTTGAAGTTCAGGCTTGCAAATAACCACCCGACATTGATGGAGTACCTGGACAATGACAGACAGACAGACAGTCACACAGGTTTTATTCAGTAGTTAAGGCCCAGTGGCCAAGACATTGGTCACGTGACATGAAATTATGGTTTTACATGTGATTTACGGATGGACATCAAATGTTTTATGAAAATGGCAACAGATTTAATAATATCAGCATTATTAGAATTAAGTACATTATATATCGTTTGTGGGGCATTATTAGTGCATTTTAAATACTTCTTTCGGCAGGCAGAGAAAGTCTTACAGACTAATAATAAGTGACGTTCGTCTTCAGTTTTACCGGAAGAACAATAGGAACATGATCAATCTTCCAATGTATTATTATCTTTTCTAAAACGTTGTATTTTTAAGGCATGCAGAGAGATTCTAAATTTACAAACAAAAATCTTACAAGGGACTTATCATTAAGAACACTGATATATTTTGCAGGTCCGAACATCGATTTACATTGTGAATAATGACTAAGAAAACTGGATGAATTGACTGATGCGTACCAATTCTGAATATATATATATCTTTTATTCGTTGTTTAAATGTTGACAAAAACATTTTTATATCACCAACATCTTGCTTAAACCAAACATAAGAAAACCCGCTTGAAAATAACATATTTCTCACATCTGAAGCCCATGAATACTTTCCACATTTATCCAGTGATAACAATATTTGATAGCTTTGATGGGGGTAGCGATAATCAGGCATTCTTATAAGTTTAATCCAGTATCTAATAACTCTCATTTGACTCTCAACATGCATGTTATAGCGTCCTGTTTCGCCAAGTATGGCTTTATTGGAAGCAAATTTACGTACTGTAAGAAATCTTTTAAAATAGGATGCATGGACATTTTCAATGGCTTCGAAATAATTAGCTCCCCATATTATATGGGAAATTATGACATGATTATATATGTTAAAAGAAATATATTAAATCACAACCTCTTGTAATATGTTATAAAGGATCAAAGAAAGTATACAGATACACACACACAAATTCTTATGTGTTTTCATTGTATTCTAAACCGTAAACAACACCAGCCCAAATCCGATAGCCAGCGCGTATGCATATGCTTAAATTTGCTAGTACACTCGAAAGGCAAAATGGTATTATATCTACCTAAATACTTCTTTCTAGAGTCGCAAAGCGTAGTATTTCAAGCAAACACGTTGCTCGAAGTGAAGCCTTCTTTTCTATATATTCTCAACAAACACACTGTGTCACAAGCGTTCGGTCCACCTAGGCTCGGGTCGTCAAAAGCACCTAACACCTCAAAGGTGTATCTTTAATCGTGCTTAACTCCATAGATTAGTATGATATCTACCTATATATCACATTGAAATGTTACAAAATGCCACATGTAAAGGTAACTGGTCCGTTAAAGTAAAAGCCCTTGTCTGCCCACCCTCAAAATATCCTCAATCAAAAGTGTTCAGTCTGTTCGGCCCGACTTGGCCCGGGCTGTCAAAAGCATCTTGAAATGTGTTTATATCCATAGATCAGTATTATATCTACCTAAATGCCAAATTGTGATGTTACAAAGAAAACTGGGTCTATAAAGTGGTATTTAGATAGATATAACTATATTCATTGGATGTAAACAGAATCTAGGATTCATCTGTGAGACTTCAAGATACATGTGTGAGGTTTAAGTTGCTTTTGACAGCCCGGGCCAAGTGGGGCCAACAGAGACTTAACACTTTTGATTGAGGCTATGTTGAAAATGGAGAGTGAGTGAGTGAGTGAGTTTAGTTTTACGCCGCACTAAGCAATATTCCAGCTATATGGCGGCGGTCTGTAAATAATCGAGTCTGAACCAGACAATCAAGTGATCAACAGCATGAGCATCGATCTACGCATTTCGGAACCGATGACAAGTGTCAATCAAGTCAGCGAGCCTGACCACCCGATCCCGTTAGTCGCCTCTTACGACAAGCATGGGTTACTGTTCGGTCCGGCATACCTCGGGCCGTCAAAAGCAGCTTAAACCTCACACATGTATCTTGAATTGCAATCAGCTATCTGTATTTGATAGTTGATATTAATGCTTTATCAATGGAAGAAACTATTTGCGTAACTACAGTGACTATAAGAGGAAAACATATATTCGTTTATCCTTTAAAACAATTTTAGAATAATCGAAACATGAAATCAATTTATAAGCTACTTTTACACATTATTAACTTCATGTCCAATTTTTTAAGTATCCTGAAACTGACGAAACCAATGTTGGGCAATTAGATCCCATGAGTTCAATTGCCTATTACAATCAACACACGAATATACCTCATAACCGACATATATTTTATCATAACAACATCTCTGGGCTTTTATGCATATCATTGATTTCATTGTTATATGATAAACTATACCTGTAAAATGTTATACTCGTACGAAACTTCCCTGTACTTCATTATATATTTCTTTACAGAAACCATTTCAGAATTTCAATTAAGTAGTAAAAATACATGCACATGACAATTTTCACGTATTGAATTATTTGGTTCTTCGATATATGAAAAAAGGCAAATGAAACCGCTCGAAGCATTCCTTGTGAGATACAGTTGTTAGGAATGTACTATGTCTGTGAACATTGTAAACATTATCAATGTTATACGTCAGTGTTTATTCCAGTCACGATTAGGTGGCGCAGTGCGATGCCAGAATGGCCCAGTGTTCTTCAGACGCTGATGCATCATTCAAGTGTCCAGTTTGTCTGGAGTTATTACAGTCGCCTGTCAGGATAGCCTGTCCTTTTCAGCATGTGTGAGTCGGCTGTGTATTTTCGGGGGCGACGTTGAAGGGAAAGTGTTCGGTTTTCGATCACTCAATAATATTCCCTGTTTATTCCATGTATCCGATATATAAGTGAATTGTAACGGTTTTCATTCGTTTCGAGTATTTTCCAATGAATATGTTTACTACATGTAAATGTTGACAGTTCGGCTGAGGCATATTGAGAAATATGATGGACTGATGAGCCTCGTATTGTTTACAGAGTTTTCATGCAGTACTCTACCATCATGAACATTCGCGGAAGTAATTCAACTGTACGCACAACATGGGATTTATATTTGTTGTGAAGTACTGTCATTATTGAATACTGTTCATTCATGTGCACGGATAGTTTTACAACACCACATGTGAACACATTTTCATCAACATTTGGACATTGACAGTTAATTTAAGAAACCGAAACTAGGCTTTGTTGAAGTTTTAGTTGATAAGGACAGTTGTGATTCATTTGATATAAAAAAATTACATTGGGGCCCCAGATGATGTAGAGGCTTTTGATTGTTGTTTATTGTTTTGTACCCAGATGGTACCAAAGTGTACCCGACAAATCCAATGTTTTCTCAGACTATACCAAAGAGTCCCAGGTTTTGGAAATCATAGTGTAGTCTATGTCATAAGTGTATCCATGATTAGTTTGCGTCATTCAACAGCAGTGCCAGAAATCTCCATTTTCCAAGTTGTCAAGATGACTATAAACTTGTCTGCATTACCTCCCTTGGTGTGAGGTTGCTGCTTACGATCAATATAATCCATGAGTTCATCAGAGGATTTTGCAATGCAAAAAGCTAGCATCAAGCTTGTTATAGGTTGCCAGGTTCATAGCACTATCAGGTCTTAGAACTGTATGCAAGGAGAATGTTAATATGATGCCTGTGACAATATACTTTGTTGCTAGTTTATGAGTTACAAGTCCCTGTGAGTGGGTTTAGTTTATGTCGCACTCAGCAATATTCCAACTATATGGTGACAGTCTGTAAATAATCGAGTCTGGACCAGTCAGACAATCCAGTGATCAACAGCAGGAGCATCGGTGTACGCAATTGGGATATGATGATATGTGTCATCCAAGTCAGCGAGCCTGGCCAACCGATCCCATAAGTTGCCTCTTACGACAAGCATCGGTTACTGAAGATCAATTCTAACCTTGATCTTCATGGGTTAGAAGTCCCTGTGCTCTAATCTCGATGTATACTATTTTACTGTGTATAACAATCCCCCTCATGATATCAAGGGGATTGATGTCGTAAACCTCTTGTGCTGCAAAAGGGTACCAAAATATGGATGCATTTGATATGGTCCATGTACAAAATGACATGACAATGAAAATCTGGGTACTGCTCGTTATTTTGTTTTGGACACAAGACCTATATTTATGGTAAACCAATTAGCAGTGAAAGTCTGGATACTACTTATCAGTATATATTTTTGTACACAAGACACATTTTCATCCAATAACCAATGAAAATGTGAATACTACTTGATATATCATTTATTACACAGCGCATGTTTCTATGGTAACCCACTGAGGGTTACCCTTCAGTAAAAATTATCGAAGACAAATATGGCTGTTACTAATACATTGCAGGGGTGGAAATAACCCATTGCCCAACGCCCCAGTCCAGTGTTTTTCTGTCGGGCAAGTCAATTTGAAAATCACGCTATACCGGTGTCCAGTTGACTTTCCAATGTTAATTATGTTGTTTATTTAAAAAACCAACAAGAATAGTGGCCGGTATAGTGAAACAATTATCAGGGCAAGTGATTATACATGTGCAACTGTACCGGAATACACTAGCAATTTTAAAGTTATTTCCACCCCTGCATTGCATGTGTGGTCTTTTAAAAGTAGAAGCTAGCAATGACGGTGGGGTAGCCTAGTGGTTAAAGCATTCACTTGTCATGCCAAAGGTCCGGGTTTGATTCCCCACTTGGGCACAATGCCTGAAGCCCGTTTCTTGCATCCCCTGCCATGATGGGAATATTGCTGGAATATTGCTGAAAGTGGCTTACAACCATGCTCAATCACTCACTCAGAAGTAGGGGTGGGTATCGCAGAGAATTTTCATATTGCGATATATTGCGATGCGGAAGCATATATTGCGATATGTATTGCAATATATTGCAAGAATTATTTTTTTAACAAAAACTATTTATAATCGAGTTAATGCTTGATTATAAAGCAAAAACACAACAAAATCACTATGATTGATTAACCTATAATAGAAACTTTTAATCATGACAAAATAAAAATGTAAGTAACATTTGGCTTTAATGAAACAGGGAAAAGAACAATTAAAAAAACGGAAATATCCAAAGATTTCCGAGTGTTACAAAGTTTTCCGAATGCTTGTCAAAATACCGGTTTTTGATCAGTGTATCGCAATACATATCGTTTTCAGGTCTGAACCGGTAAATACCGGTAAACCGGTTATATTGCGCAGCCCTACTCAGAAGCTAATGTATTATATTTCATACCGGGTATTCATGAGAAATGGAGAAATGTTGAGTTCATGATGTGTAGAACAAATCTGTGCTTGATTACTATCAGACATCACACATTGATGATTTGTACTGTGATGGTTTCAGATATTGTGAGCGCTGTGCCATAGGACTACAGCATGTGCATGTACCAACATGTCCGCAGTGTCGGTCACCGTTTGACCCCACCCGCATGGAAAAGGCAGTGGACATTGAGAATAACATGAGAACAAACAGAGCCAACTGCCAGTGGTGTGGACAGCAGGTACAGTGAACTTTGCAGATGGGTGAGTGAGTGAGTTTAGTTTTACGCCACACTCGGCAATATTCCAGCTATATGGAGGCGGTCTGTAAATAATGACGTCTTGACCAGACAATCCAGTGATCAACAGCATGAGCATTGATCTGCGCAATTGGGATACGATGTCGTGTCAACCAAGTCACCGAGCCTGACCAATCCTGTGAGTCGCCTCTTATGACAAGCATGGGTTATTGAAGATCAATTCTAACCTGGTTCTTCATGGGTTCCTTTCAAACGAATGAACATGTATTGTTAAACAGAAAGTCAGTATGAACTGAAGTTTTTGAAAACAGTAATCTACATTCATGGCGAACATGCATTTAACGAAAGAACTGATTTTTGGTCTCCGCCACTTGCTTTTAGTCAAATTGCATATAACTAAGTAAGGTTATAAGTAGAGCTGTGACGATACATCGTAGTATCGATAATCGTGATACTTTATCTGACGATAAATATATCGATACTTTTGTTCGTATCGTGATATGTATCATTGACCTTAAAATTGTTAATGTTTACTAGAAATTGATGTTTATGTAAAAATTTACACTGTTACTTACTATTAAAATATACTTTTGTAAAGAAAATAACTAAAGATAGCATATTGTGATATGCATCGAATCGAATCGCATCGTTCCAAGATATCGCGATACATATCGTATCGTGACATTTCCGTATCGTCACACCTCTATTTATAAGATAGTACATTAGTGGTCCCTTTGAGTCAGTTTGAACAGATATTTACTGTTTAATGTATCAGGAGAATCTCTCCACAAGTGATCTACATAATAAAGATATGTAATTTGGAGACTGATTGAGATTGATAATACCCTTTCAGTCTGTGTTTACCTGATGCAACCAGGTTATTACCTAAGGATGCAAGTAGTTTTGATGTCCTTAAATCGAGCCCAGCAATATTTTATGCGTCCCAGATTTAATATTGATAATGACTTCCATTACTATTTCGGGAAAGGTAGGGGACACAGGTGGCCCAGTTGTCTAGGGCAATAATGTTTATGTGTTTGTCAACGCCATGCCTGTGTTCTTGAGGTGAGGTGAATAGGGCTGAAAAGATTCACCCAGACCACGATTCGATTAGATTTTTGACGTTGGAACCTCGATTCAATCATGTTCGATTCAATTTTACGTACAAGTAAAAACTTCAGATTTCATTTGACTCTCAGAGTTTAAGTGAGTAGGCCTTTTTAGCGTGAATTCCATTGTCAACTTTGCGATGTCTAATAATGACAATGCTCATTGGATAATTAGCCCGGCGTCAACCAATCACGTTTCGCCTTATTTCAGCCCTCGAAACCGCTCGAGTTGGATTACAAATTACGTTCTTGCTGTATGGAAACAGTTGAAATAGATATTCAAATATTCGAAACTAAGATGTCAGATCCGATTTTCGATGAATCGAATCGAATACTTGCAGCCCTAGAGGTGAAATGATGTTTAACATTGTACTTGAAAATATTTTCCTCATATGATGACATGCATGCGTATGTCTGTTTGTACTAGCCCACACTTAAGCTGGTTTTATAGTGCTATCTTACCGAGATACCATTCCCAATGAAGTATGAATACCTCACTCAGAAACATTAAAGTGACTCCAAACCGACCAGTCCTTGTTGTACCCATAAATGCCGAACGCTAGGCAGGGACCAACAAGTACCATATTTTAACGTCTTTTGGTTTGAAGTGGCGGGGGATCGAACCCACGTTTTTCTGCTCTCCAGGCGGACGCTCTAACCACTACACCCCGGAGGTGTTCTGTGTTCTTGAGTTTCACCAAACTTGTAAATATCTATGACCTGTTGCTCTTTAGGTATTCTTTTCACATGAAGCAGGGATGCCATAGTATCTGGGTTGAAAGAGATGTTAAACCAGATTTACATTATTCCTTTTCTTTGAGGGGTGTTTAGGTAGCCTAGTAGTTAGGGCATGCAGTTGTCAAATCAAAAGATCCAGGTTCAAATCCTCAATGTGTATCATGAGTGAATAGTGCTCATGATGTCTTACATCACACCAAATTGCGAAGGTTAATTAAAATATACCTCTGACTCAGTGGGGCGGTGGGGTAGCCTAGTGGTTAAAGCGTTCGCTCGTCACGCCGAAGACCCGGGTTCGATTCCCCACATGGGCACAATGTGTGAAGCCCATTTGTGGTGTGCCCCGCCGTGATATTGCTGGAATATTGCTAAAAACGGCGTAAAAACCATACTCACTCACTCTGACTCAGTATTTGTTTTTGCCCACCAGATGGCAGTGTATAAGCTGCGAGACCACATGGAGAAGTGCACCAGTGCCGATCACAGTATTCCTCAGTTCCGGCCTGTCCGGGAGACATCACAACCAGTACCCAGGTAGCGACAAGGAAGTGGTTGTCAGCATTTCTTTTCATTTCATTTTCCTTTTAGATTTCACTTCTTAACTTAAGTTAGTATATCATATGGGAGGTAGATGTACACTGGTTTTTCCTCTTTTTGAGTTATGGTGGTGGGAAGGGTGATTGTCGAATTAAATTTACTGACTACAAACATAAAGGATTTGCCTTTATAATAGACAGAAATGTTATGAAATAAAACAAGTAGTTAATAAAAAGACAGTAAAAAATTGATAACACTAATTACTCTCTTTTTTCAGATTGAGGGACATTATCAAGATGTTGTTAAGGGGCCATTCATAATTTATGGGGTTGGGGGTTAGAGGGGATGGTTTCCATTTATTTTGTTCTGGGGCTGGGGGGGTAGTGTTGGGGGATGTAATCAATTATGTCATATATACTTGCAGGGTGTGGGGGCCAGCAATTTTGTTCTCATACATTTTAAAAAGTTATACTTAAAACATATGGGGTTGGGGGTGCGGGTCATGTCCTTTTGTACAGGATGTGCAGAAGGTCCACTTGACTAGTAGTGTAGCGATGAGTGTGGATGTTAGGAGTGCACTGTTGAGATTATGTGTTCTACAACCCTAGGGCAGTGGTGTAGTCCCAGGGGTTCAATTTTTTTTTTAAAAAGCCACTTGCCACAGGGCAAGTGACTTTAAGAAAGTAACTTGTCCTGACTAATTTTCCACTTGCCCTGATTTTTTCACATAATTATGATGATGTAATTGTGAAAGAAGAAATCAACATGGTGTTTGATGTTAATGTTTACTGGACTATTTATTGAAAAGTGATAAATAGCAGAGAAAGATAACTCTACTTTGTTATCATTGCGAAATGTAATAGCTACATTTTGAGCAGATATGAAATTAAATCCAAGTTTATTTGCGGTTTGAAACCATAAGTGGAAATTATCTAGTAGCCCACGGACAAGTAAGATGCCATTATTTGATTGCCCGAAATGAAAACTGACTTGTCCCGGGCGTCGGGCGATGGGATTTTTGAACCCCTGAGTCCACTGGACGAAGCGTTGGCTTGTCACACTGAATATCCAGGTTTGATTCCTAAACATGGGCACAGTGTGTGAAGGCCATTTATGGTCCACCCCCCATGATGTTGCTGGAATTTTGCTAAAAGCGGCATAAATCCATACTCACTCCCAGTACTGCTCTGTTTCAGCAATATCCCCAATAGATCCACCTTCCAGTGCCCATATTGTGGGGAGAAGAACTTGGAATTATTAGCATTGGTCAAACATTGCAATGAGCAACATCGACACTGTCAGCAACAAGTTGTGAGTACACTGTCAAAATCTGACAAGCTGTGTGTCACATGGTGATCTGACTTATCTGCTGAAATTATCAAAATCATGTTGATAAATCACAAATTGCACACAAAATGTAACCAGAAGCTCTGTGAGTCCAAAATAACTGAGAAATGTCAATCCGTTTGGCCACAGGCAAACTGTAGCCCAAAGAGGGTTGCGCAACAAAGAGAAAATGACCAGTCTTCCTATATGCGAGCGAAGCGAGCAAAGGTTGGCAACGTACTTCCCTCGCTTCGTTATGAAAAATATTTTGAATGTCAAAACTAAATATCGCCACCATCAAATGTAGACACCCATTTCCTCACAGGGTTGTGCTCTCAGATTTCCAACCTCATATTTAATAATTACCAACGTAAAACATATTTAATTCAACACTTTAAACGCCACTTGTGCCATATCAAACCGTTCTTCGCCTCCATTACCCCTGCCAGCTCCCGCTTCAACGGAATGAAGGAACAAGAATAAGCAGAAATTAAAGAGAAATATCATATTGCCTAATTTTACCATTAAACTGTTGGAGATTATGTTTCTTTTCTGTCGTCGTTATTGTTAGAATTCTTGTAATATTTATTCTACAAAAATCATTTCTGGCGTAGTGGGCGGGTGAAGCAGGGGAGGTCACTCCGCAAGTATCCCCCCCATATGGCAGACATGTGATTCAACAAGTATATTTAGATTTAAGTCCCCTGTTCCTTCACTCCCTTGAACCGGAAGCTGGGAGGGGTAATTGAGGCGAAGAACGATTTGATGTGGCACAAGTGGTGCTTAAAATCTTGAATTAAATATGTTTTACGTGGGTAATTATTAAATATGAGGTTGGAAATCTGAGAGCACAATATTGTGAAGAAATGGGTGTCTACATTTGATGGTGGCGATATTTTATTTTGATATTAAAAATATTTTTCGAACTGAAGCGAGGGAAGTACATTGCCAACCTTTGCTCGCTTCGCTCGCATATAGGAAGACTGGTAATTTCTCTTTGTTGCGCAACCCGATTTGTGCTACAGTTTGCCTGTGGTTTGGCTCATTACAGCAATGAAAAATTTTAATGTTTGTGTTAAGATTTTACTGGCGTTTCTATTTCCATGAAATATGATGATTTCACACTGTTTCTTTCATGCACTATTGCAATGGTTACTGTCATGTTTATGATACCATCCGCTCTTGTTACCATGGTTACTGTCTTTTATGACACGTTTTGCTGCAGGTTTGTCCGGTGTGTGCATCAATGCCATGGGGAGATAAATCACGCGTCAGTGCCAATTTCTTGCAACATCTCAACCTCAGACACAAGTTTGAATATGATACTTATGTCGTAAGTACAGGACATTTTGCACTTCAAAGTTACAACTTCCACATTGGAAATGACATGTTAAGGTCTGGGTTAGAATATTGATCTTCAGTAACCCATGCTTGTCGTAAGAGGCGACTAACAGCTCATGCTGTTAATCACTGGATTGTCTGGTCCAGACTTGATTATTTACAGACCGCTGCCATATAGCTGGAATATTGCTGAGTGCGGAATAAATCTAAACTCACTCATTCACATTGGTTGATTCTGTGTCTTTGTACCTGGTGACGGTTGCATCATGCCCATACCTAGAGACTGTCATCATTTAGCTGAAATATTGCTAAACAACAAGCAAACAGACAAGTTTGAATACAAAAGATAACCTCAGCCAACCTCTCTCTGCATATCAACTACCATTCCAGAGCTGATTGGAGATGAGTGAGTGAGTATAGTTTTACTTTTAGCAATATTCCAGCTCGATGGGGGACACCAAAAATGGGCTTCACACATTGTGGGGAATCAAACCTGGTGGTTCAAGCATTGACTTATGCCGAAGTCCCGGGTTCGATCACCACATGCGTACCATGTGTGAAGGCCGTTTCGGGTGTCCCCCTCAGCGATATTGCTGGAATATTACTAAAGGCTCACTCACAGTACCTTGCCAAATATTGCTTTGATTGTGCATCTCTATGATGGTGTTGGCAAATGACAAGATGAAGGAATGAAAACACATGTTGCTCAGTTTTGTTGCAGCCTTGATAGAGTTATGAATACACAATTAACACTTATCAGAGGGGTACACAAAGTCCGCAGTCTGGACTACCAGTTGTCCTACTTCCATTTTTGTGGAAGCCGTGGTGGTTGTGTGGGTTAGGGGCTGACTTTGTGTGCTGACAATTAGGTGCCTGACTCTGAGGGTGTGGGTTCGAATCCCAAATGGGACTCAACCCAACAAAAGTACTAGAATCTGTACTATACTAAGATAGTGCAATCCCAAATATTAACATAGAGTTAGAACAACATCAGTGACATGTACTGACAAAGTGTTTTTTCTAAACTTGCAGGACTACCAGCATGACGATGAGTCCATGCTGCAGGATGCAATTCAGGCGTCACTACAGACCTTCTGACTCCACAACAAGCTGCTGGACCCTTGGTGCAGAACGACAGACTATCTGAACATCTTGGGAGAGTTTCTGTCTCAACAGCTGATAGTTTGAACACCTTGCAGACATTCTGACTCTGCTACAAGCTACTGGAGTCTCAGAAATTCTGACTTTTGAACTCCCATTTGAAATCCCTGAAAGTGCTTCTGACTCTAAATGATATTTTGAACATCTTGCAGGAAATTCTGACACTGGAACTGACTGCATTTATGAAAACACAACGCCAGAGGCGTACATAAAGTATGTGATCTAGATTACCAGTTGTCCGACTTCCATTTGTGGCTGAGTCTGTTCTACTATTCATCCAGCATCCAATCAGCTTTTAATCCTTACTGTGCATTGGTTACATGGAACTGACCGTGAACATCCTGCAATATAATTCTGATCCTGCAACTGACAGTGAACATCCTGGCACAAGTTCTGATCCTGGAACTGACTGACTCTGTTGTCCAACCTGACTGTGCCCTGGATGAATGTGATGTGTGTGTTGAGACCTGGCCTCAGTGGATATACAGTACTATGTTCTGTTTCTGCCCGGACAGTGACCTCCCCTGACAATGGATACAGGGGAACCAACAACAGGTGATGTTCCAATTGCTCACATACAGGTGAAAAATGGAGTCAGTTAACTGTCTGAAGGATTTATTGGACAGTTATCTGACGTTCAAATACATGGACCTGGACCTTGCTGCACCGTGTCATCAGCCTCATCCAATTTATGTTTCATTAAATGTGCTTGTATTAAACCTTTAATGACAACAACCATATTTAAAATGAACTTCCTCAATAAGAAGATACAGGAGTACAGTAAAAAACATTTTGTTTCCACTGAAATCTCCAAACTATGTAAAGTATATCACAGACTGAATGACATAAGTTATATATTTTGTAATCACTATTTATCAAACTTTCAAATCAATGCAAATATTACACTAAAAGTATCATTACTGGTAGTTACTGTTCCATTTCAATATCAGATTTCAAGGAACTATAAGAGTTTAATTAAATCATTAGTTTATGAAGGTTTGTCACAATCATGTACTGAATGTATACCCATAGATCCTTTATGTTCGGGTAACATACATTTATGTCCATGTACATTTGTTTCTTTCTTTTGTCAATAAGTATGTATATGTTTTGTTTTAGTTTCTCAAGAATTCATAGACATGTTTCATGACACTGGAGGTGAGGTGTGGTGAAATTGGGTTTAACATCGTGCTTGAGAATATTCGCTCATATGACGACGTGCATGCGTGTGTGCTGCTTGTACTAGCCCAGACTTAAGCTGGTTTTATAGTGCTAGCCCACTGACATACCATGCCGCAGTGAAGCATGAATACCCCAGACACATTATACTAACTCCGTGTCAACCAGTCCTTGTTGTACTGATTAATGCCGAACGCCAGGCAGGGACCAACAAGTACCATATTTTAACGTCTTTTTGATATGACGCGGTCGGGGATCGAACCTACGACCTTCCGCTCTCCGGGCAGACGCTCTAACCACTACGCCACAGAGGCGGTCTCATTGACACCGGAACAATAATAGTATGTACAACATGCAGGTAGTTGTATCTAGGTGAGTGAGTGAGTTTAGTTTTAAACTGCTTTTAGCAATATTCCAGCAACATCACGGCAGGGTTACCAGAAATAGGCTTCACACATAGTACCCATGTGGGGTATCGAACCTGGGTCTTCAGTGTGACAAGCGAACGGTCTATGTCGGTAGACATTCTTCCTTCCTTGTTTGGAGGCTTTTGTACTCTCAGGAAAAGGGGAAGGTTGGGTAGCCTTGTGGTTAAAGCATTTGTTGTTGTCACTCAAAGTCCTGGGTTTTGTTCCCCCCATGAGTACAACGTGTGATGCCCCTTTCTGGTGTTACTCATCATGGTGGCTCCCATTCTGATATTGCTGGAATAATGCCAGACTCACTCACTCACTCACTGAGGTAAAGACTTGACAATGAATACATTGTTTTCTGTGTATGTTATTCTTTAATAGCTTCAGTAACAGGGTTCAGAGACCTAACTATTTCTGGTTACTTCATCACCTGTGGGTTGTATTTTCACCAATAATTGGTTCACGGATCCAATGTCCATGAGGCCTATTTATTTTGTCATTACTTTACGGATCCGCCGACCCGAAATGTGAAGAAAGTGGAAAGAAAATACAATTGTTTTTGCATTATTTTTGCCATTATATGCCCCGACCTGATAAAAAATGAAGAAAGTGAAAAAATAAGAAAAAATAGTAATTAATATCTTTCAAATATTCCCTGAAACTATTATATATTTCACAAAAGACAATCATCCAAATCGTCAGAACTCATAACACCACGATATACTCAAGTGTATAAATAACATCTCCATATTCTCTTTTTTTTCCCCCTTCCTACTGACCAAATATTTTTTTAAATCCGTAAACCAAGTAATTTAAACAAGAAGACAAAGTCATCAATATCCCCCCGCAATGGCAAAATACTCTTCATGATTATGTCTACCAAGTTATGATTATGTCAAATATTTAGGTGTGTATATAGAAAAGTGGAAGGAGAGCATTGAAAGCACTATCACCAATTTCAGTCTCAGTCAAACTTGTTGCCATGGAAACGCCAAAAATATTTTATTCAGAATTCCAAAACTACCAAAAGGCACCAGTACACCACCAGACCAATCTATGTGCCTAGTTTGGTGAAGAAATAGTGAACGGTTTTAGAGTTCTGCTCCGCGGAAAAGAACACAACCACCAATTTCAGTCTAAGTCAAACTTGTTGCCATAGAAAGGCCAAAAATATTTTAAACAAAATTCCAAAAGTACCAAAAGGCACCAGTACACCACCAGATCTATGTATGTGCCAAGTTTGGTGAAGAAATATTGAATGCTTTTAGAGTTCTGCTCCGGAAAAGACAAATGTGCACGGACGGACGGACGGAGTCCATTTTAATACCCCCCGCAAAACGCGTTGCGGGGGATAAAAAAAAGGGCCTCAATAGGATAGGGTCATCAGATGTCCTGATTACATAGTTGCATTGTTTGACTTCCCTGTTTGTAAGTGTAGAACATATAATGTAATGAAACACTTGGCTTTATAATTTTTATTGATATTGCTTGAACATTACTGACTGAAGTGTTGTGGAGCTATAGTGTCATTAGGTCAGCCTTATCACGTATTGTAATTACATGGGTCTCATGAGGTACGTTTCTAAATGGACCTGTGAAGATCCAGGTTAGAATTGGTCTTCAGCAACTCGTATTTGTCATAAGAAGCCACTAACAGGATGGGGTTGTCAGACACACACTGACTCTGATTGATGCATGTCATCGTATCACAGTTCTGTATGTCGATGCTCATGATGTCGATCACTGGATTGTGTGGTCCAGACTTTATTTACACACTGTCATCATATAGCAACAATATCGCTGGGTGTGTCAATTAAAAACAAACAAAACAAAAACTGATTCTTATGTGTGTCTTATAAGGTGTGACCTAGTCCTGGTTTGATAAGTGTCTTTAGCTCTCATTGCTTGTCATAAGAATTTTGTTAAACAACATACAAAATGAAAATGACGCAGTGATAGAGTCATATGGTGTTGTTGTGTACAATAATAATCACTGGATTGTCAGGGTCTTTACAGGATCTCTGGGCCAATTTTTATATTAAATGAATGAGCAAGTAAAGTTTAACACCTCTTTGAAGATAATTTTTTAAAGGAATGACGGTTTTCTGTTAATGGTTGTCATAGCTGCTGTCTTGGTAAGTGAGACACCTTGCAGCTGACAGATCAAGCTTTCACAAGTTATGGGTTAGGCATTGAACCATGTGAAGATCAACCTCACTCAACCAACCAAAGTTGGTAGGGTAGCCTAGTAGGGTAGCCTAGTAGTTAAAGCGTTCGCTCATCATGCCAGATTCCCAGGTTTGATTCCCCACATGGGTACAATGTGTGATGCCCATTTCTGGTGACCCTGCAGTGATATTGCTGGAATATTGCTACAGGCGGCGTAAAACCAGACTCACTCACTCGCTCAATACTATACTATTCAACTCTTCATGTCTTTCGAATATAAAAAAACCCCTGATTCCAATAATGTGTGTATATTTATATTTATTATAAATATCTAATATATTTAGATAGAAAGACATATCTGTTTACCCTATCAAGGTCAGAGCTGTGTATATACTCATCTACTGTGTATATAGAGTCCGTAGTTAGTATATTCCTGTTGCCATTTAGCACAAGGTCAAGTTTGGTCAGATTTGCGAGGGCTGCCATGGGATGGTAATGACCTGATTTGATTGAACAGAATTCTTTGCTGTTTATGTTGTTGATAATAAGAGCTCAGGGACCAGTCATTTTCAGGGTTATTGGAAGTGTTCCTATGAATGGGATACACAATGACTGGAAGATGGTAGAAACATTTCATTGTTATGCTAGTTTTAAGCAGGGTCTTGAAATAAATGGATGATTTTATTTAAGTACTGTCTATTCTTTGTGTGATTATCTTACATTGGACTAAACTGACCGTATGAAGTGGTGAAATACAGTTGTGATGAATAATTATTTACTACCCGGTACCTTATCCCTATTACCTAACCCTACCCATTTAAGTAGTGTAGATTTTAAGAGATTGGTAAATGATTCTGGAATCCAGGTAAGTAATGTTTAGATCATGGTCTGATCATAGACACACAGAAGTCGGGCAGTTCCAGGATTATTTGGAGAAGGTGCTGCACATAAATCATGAAGTACAAAGGTTAGGGGGAAATGCTCATCAGGGAATTTCTTGGGGGGGGGAGGGTGTCCACCCCTGGAAGTTGATTGTGGCTCTGTCTTTACCAAAGTCAGAATATAAAATATATAAAGGTCAGAAGGAGTGTGTCCATGGTCAGAAACAAATGTGAACAATAGCGACTTGACGTGAAACCATGCAGTTTGAATTTCATTGTCATTTAACAATATTTTGCGTGACTAAAACAAGTCTGTAAATCCATGTGGGTGCTCAGGTCAAAGCGAGGACCCAGCCTACCCAGTCACCTTCCCCCACCCCAATAGAAATGTGATGTCACACTCACAAAGAATTTTGAATGTCTGTTCCCTGAGTGCTTGTAGATAATGTATTAAGGAAATCTTCAACAGGACAGTTTGAATATGATGCAAGTGATCAAAGTTTTGCAGGCATGAAAATAAATCTGCTTTGTATTCATTGTCCCAGACAGAGCTTCAACAATTTTTGAAGATTTTGTGATGCTTGAAGATGCTGAATGAAAGTTGTAGTTTAAATTATGTCTTCAACAATATGACTGAAATAAATCTTTTCAGATCAGCATTGTGTGTCTAGTTTCATGATTGACTTTTAAATTCTATCATTACTTGTGATGATGTTCAGAAGTGATGCAAGTAAAGGGGACATTTTGGGATGTCAGCTTTATCACAAGGAACACGGCTACTGGTATAATATTAGATCTAGTCTTTGAATAACTCATGAAATGACTTAAGGTATCACTCCAAATTATTACTTATATAAATCCTCAAAGTGAGAGGGGTGGTGGGGTAGCCTAGTGGTTAAAGTGTTTGCTCGTCGCGCCGAAGACATGGGTTCAATTCCCCACATGGGTACAATGTGTGAAGCCCATTTGTGTCCGCAGCTGTGATATTCCTGGAATATTGCTAAAAGCGGCGTAAAACTAAACTCACTCACTCACTCAAAGTGAGAGGTGAACAGATTCAGAGAAGAAGCTGATGCTGAGGTAGAACAATTCAATTAAACAGTCTTGACTATTTTATTCAGTTTTTTACTATTTTTCTTATGTCAAGATCAATTAGATCATTAAAACATGCAGACAAATCATCTTGCCCATACACGGAGTACACACTCTGTTAAATAAAACATGTCATAAGTGCTGCCGCATATCCTTGGACACACAGGCTAAGACGAGGGGTGTTGCACTTCACCACTGAAAATAATCTTAAATGATGGCTTGTTATCTTCAAAAGATAGTGACACGATTTATGGCCGTTCTTGTGATTCAAAAGATAACAACGAATGGTTGTTCAGTGTCTGGAAAACCATAACATGAGGATACATCACCTCTATGAAAGGAGCAAGTGGGACTCCCAACTGGAATTGACAAATCTTGATCTCATTGATAAAATGGGAATACTGTTATTAAACAGTTAATTATCATTAGATATGGTACTGTGGCAGACATTCAACTTTATTTCTTTGTTAAACCTGCAAGTTTGGAATTCTCAAATTAAGTCTCTGTGTTCCGAATGAATCGTTTACAACATGTATATGTCTGTAATTGTATCTACAATGTCTCAGATGTTCTCTCAAAGAATTGCTCATATTTATATTGTATGAGAAAAAGACATTTTTTATACATATCAGCAGACACCATCTCTGACAGCTGAACATCACAACTTGACACAAGTCCAAGCTATTTTTAAGATGAACATTATCACATTCTCAATTTATGTGAACACATCTCATACGTTCTAAAATGATACCTAAAGAGTTTTCTCTTTCTTCAATCTTTCCACGTGTGAGCGAAACGGTGTGTCATACCTCGTCTTATATTTCGCAATGCTTACATTATCAGGGGAGATAATAAGGTGATAAAAGGGGGCTACCTCCCTTCATGTAAGATGGCGACCTCCATACGGAACCGTGTGTAAATCGTACTTTTTCCTTATTTCAGTCATGACAGCTTTCCAGATTAACAAACAAAAACGTGCATTACTATAGCACACGTCCAGAGTTCGTGAATGAGGCTGAAAGGTCTTTTCTCGTTAGTAAAACCACATTTACCATTGACTTTTGGCTTTACGACTAAAAATAGCGATTTAATTTTTACAAAATTGTACACCGTGTGCAGAACGGGTGTTCAAGGAACATACAGTGCTAGAGGATTTACAGAGGAGTTGATTAAGCAAGACATGGATGCAAGGGACATAGATTCCACTTCCAGGCGAAATGATCACCGACATCATCATGGTCGAGATAAGAATAAAAAGTATAAATTCCAAGACCCGAATCACTCCCTTGAAGAATACAAAGCAACCTTGTCGAAAAGAGGGCTGAAGAAGGTAAACAAGATGAACGGACGTGAATCCACACAATATACGAACTTGCTCTTGAAAACATATGGTTCTTTATCTTAGAATATGTATGTCAGTCTTGATTGCAATTAATCCTGGGTGTAATACATAGAGATTATACACGAGCAAGTGTGTCATACGACTTATGAATACAAAACGAGTGTGAAATTTTGGGGAGTACTGCACTTTACCGGGCGCACTTTTTCAGATTAATTAGCGCTGCTTGGGTTCCCTAACCCTAACCCTTACCCCTAACCCTAAGGATCGTAAAAGGTACCTAACCCTAAGGATCGTAAAGGGTGCCTAACCCCAAGGATAGTAAAGGGTGCCTAACCCTAAACCCTAACCCTAAGGATCGTAAAGGGTGCCTAACCCTAAACCCTAACCCTAACCCTAAGGATCGTAAAGGAAGCAGCGAGGGCTGCGCCCGGTAAAGTGCATTCTAGCCAAATTTTGTATTGCCCACACATTGGAAATACACAATTTTGCACAAGTTTTGACATATTTTCTCCATTGTCCATTTTATTCATGTACATTTGTGCAGTAAAACATGTAAGCAAGTGTGACGGCCCACTTCATTGGCGTCACGTTCCATTGTTTAATGACGTCACAGACAATGAAGTATAGAAACAATGGTTGCTGGGCAAATGTGATATGTGCACATGTGCACATATGATATATACATGACACTGGTTATGTTTCACCATATGGATAATATATTTAAAGTAGTTTTACAAGTAGTTAATAAGTACTGCTGAAAATAATGTACAACACAACATATTCATGTCAGTGTCCCTTTCAGTTTGAAAGAATGGAGAAATGGAAGAACCGTGACAAGAAGCCTAAGTCTAAAAAGCTGAATGCCCCTGAGCCAGGATTTGCTGCTGATCTGTATGAAGAAACTGAATACTACTACGAGAATGGTAGATCTTGCATGAACACAAGTGTTTCACACACTATAATTTTGTCTTTTTTTTTTGACTACACACGACTTAATTAAAGGCACAATGTCACACATTTTCGGCAATATTGGGCCTATATTAGGGACCGTTCATAATTTATGACAAGGGGGATGATGATGATTTTTGTGGAGAAGCATGTACAATGTGAATGACCACCCCAAATTCATGTACATGTACAAAGTAAGCGACCCCCCAGCATGTCATGTACAAAATCAATGCCCCCCCCTTTCCCACAATTATTGAGCAAAATGTTTTAATATTTTCATGTACAAATTTGCTACCCCCCAATACATGTGTACCAAATTGATTCCCACCCGACCCCATACCTCCGCAGAACAAAATGGGTGACCCCCCTTAAATAAAATCATCATCACCCCTCTAGCCATAAATTATGAATGGTCCCTTATACATATTGGGGCATATGCATTCACTTTAGCTTCCTATTGATGCAATATTAAGACTTATTATCCTTTACGACTTGCCTGAAATCGATAATTGTCGCACACAGTGTTGTCTGTGTTTGCCGAACTGCTTTCAATCACAAGTTGTGCATAGGATATTTGTAAAGAGCGCTCCAAGGTTCTTAGATAATTAATATGATAATGAATGTAGGCCACCATGCTAAGTTTGTTTCAGGTGTGCTACCATGCACATATAATTATATATATCATATTCAACGTTTTTGTCAAAAGCAGAAATTATAGATTTATTTATGAGACTTCTTTTATGAAAGAAGGTCTTATAACTAATATTTGTTCAGCCTGTTATAAATATTATTAGTTTGTTGTGAAAAATATCAGTCTGTTGTGAAAAGTACGAGTGTGCTTGTTGTTTAAAGGTTTGAGGAAGGTGTACCCCTACTACTATATCGTTCACCTCGTTATGTGAAACAGCGCTGGCTGGGTAGGACCATCCTGGATGTCATCAAGTCAGAGTTCAAGGCATATTCAGAGGAGGATTACGTGAGTCTGCTTGTCACTACAGTATAGCCAGCAGATAACATTGTATATTCCTTTATTTATGTATCAATAAATATTTCTTGTTGACACTGTATTGATTAAATACGTGTAGGTCTTAATAAAACCAATTATGAATAAATAATCAGGGATTTTCAGGACACGAATCCCTGCATCCTATGCGCATAAAAATTGACAATGGACACAACGAAATTTATTAGCGCATCCACACGGATGCAGAAAAAGTCCAAATACTTTTGTAGAAACTCCAATCTAGTAACAATAAGTTATCACTGAGTTTGCTTCTAGCTGAGTTATGGTCTCCTTTGCAATTTGATTACTGTAACAATTAATGTGATGATCATGATACACAATACAATAACAGTATTAGTAATGATATTTATGTGTATGGGACCCCCATTTGGTTGTCCAGGACCCCTGAAAATTATAAGCACGAGTCCCAGGGATCCTCAAATACAGGACTCAAGGTAAATCCCTGCTGCATGTTGGGGAGTTACGGTTATGGGGGCATTAACATTAATACAAATCACCCCACCCTGCAACACATGGTGTGCTCCACAGTTTATACGTATATATACTGGTACTGGTAAAACCCTGCATAATGCACTGTGAAAGGGACTTTTATGTCTGTTAAGATTAACATGATTTAGTGTTGGGAATTGGTTGAAATCTCACAATTGATGATTGCTTCATTACCAACGAACAATCATCGAAAAAAATTGGTTAATATCATTTTTCAGATTTTCCTATCCAGGTTGTTATTGTAGATATGTATAACATGATGCAACTTGCAACTCGTGAGTTTTCTAAGAATTAAACACGTTTTCAGGCCCTGACAACTTCTAAGATATGTTCCATTGTCAAGTTTTTCAAAGACTAAAACAGTAATTCCGAAATCGTTTATAATCGATTATGAGAAATTGTGATCGATTGCTTGGTCGTTTGGTTTGGACCAATCTTCGATTATTTCAATTAATCGGAACACCACTAACATGATTAGGGTTGACAATGAAAAGAAAGGTACTTTCACTTTCACTTTAATGAATCAGACTGGTTCAAGTTTAGCTTAAAACTAATAAACTGCAGGTCTCCATAGGTAATGTTTAACTGTACATAGACAATGATTTGGTAGTGACATATCGTTAAAGTGAAATATTTATGTAGAGACTCTATGTCTCATCCAGCACAGCAGAATATTAACTTATTATATTCCAGTGATGTCACAAGGATTTTAATGGTAAATTTGTTTCGTGTATTGACATTTCACATTTTGCAGATCAATGCAATCAGCAGTGGCAACCTGACTGTCAATGGTAAAAGGGTGCAAGGGGATTACATTCTGCGAGACAGTGAACTAATAGCACACAAGGTCCACAGGTATGTGCAGTGTCTAGTCATCATAACCAGCAGAGAATAGCGTACAGGATGTATAGTAGTATCCAGACTCTATATATGGTAGTATCCACACTCTCTATACAAGGTTATATACAGATTATGAGTATGGTGTTATGCAGTCTCTCTATATATGGTGTTATGCAGTCTCTCTATATATGGTAGTATCCAGACTTATTATTTATGGTAGTATCCAGACTTACTATATATGGTAGTATCCAGACTTACTATATATGGTAGTATCCAGACTTACTATATATGGTAGTATCAAGACTTACTATATATGGTAGTATCCAGACTTATTATTTCTGGCGTCACAATATGGCTGAAATATTGCCGATGTGACATTAAATATTAACTCACTCACTATTATTTATGGTAGTATCCAGACTTACTATATATGGTAGTATCCAGACTTACTATTTATGGTAGTATCCAGACTCTATATATATGGTAGTATCCAGACTTACTATATATGGTAGTATCCGGACTTACTATTTATGGCAGTATCCAGACTTACTATATATGGCAGTATCCAGACTTACTATATATGGTAGTATCCAGACTTACTATATATGGTAGTATCCAGACTTACTATATATGGTAGTATCCGGACTTACTATATATGGTAGTATCCAGACTCTATATACATTCATCCCTCGCAAATAACGCTCTTCGCGATACCGCGGATTCGGTTAAACCGCGGGGTAATCCGTGGCTCCCATAAAAAAAGTTGCCCAGTGATCACACATATTCACGTGATCGAAAATAGCACATCAACAAATCCGCTGTTGAGCTCTGGTTAATCACGTAGTAAACAAGTGAAATTCAGTGCGGATTGCAATTAACAGTGCTTATCGTATATATCCATGTTTTTTCAGATGCTTAAAACAATGCAGGGTCTTTTTCAATAATAATTGATGAACAGCGAAACATCGTAATAACTTTATCATAAAGACATGTCGATTATCAGCCGAGTACTTACAACGTTTGCTATGATGCAACACACCGCGTAATTGCGCGGGTATACACCGCCATCCGAGAATGTATGATGTCAGAAAACACATTTTATTTGATTAAATTCAATCCCATTTTCATTCAGTAAAACTGTTTACAATAACAACGGAGAAACCGTGAGTGAAATGGCATTACCTCATTCCATACAACACCCGCTTACGTGAGGGTCCGTTTTTCGCGCCTACCGCGATAGTACCAATTTCACATTTTTCTCAGCAATCACGAAAAGATTACAGCCTTGTCATCCATTGACCCCAAGGCCCGCGTTATTGACTCGTTGAAGTCATATTTGACAATTAATTGCCAACATTTTGTTTTTACAATCAAAGTGGCACGTACCGCGGGAAGTCAGCGGTGACTTGTCAAACTGTCTCCTACATAAAATGTATCCAGCCAGGTAACCCAAAGTGCTTAGCAATGCTTATTATTATGTTAAATATGTTCGTAGAAAACATGCATTATACTTATACGATAGCAATATATAAGATCTCTGTTAGAATAACTGCTTGACATATCAATTATTCTGATAATGGAATAGAAATTCTTGGATGTTATATTTTCGGGATCGTTTTTAAATGAATCACCGGTACATTGGACCAAAACATCGATGTGTGCCCAGCTGATTGCTATTTCCGGCTTAGTTGAATAACAGGTAGCATGACAGGAACAACAATTGAATTATCATGTCTTGTGGTGTTTGATTGCAAGTTTCATGTACATACATCTATTTTTTATTTACAAAGTTGTTGTTTTTTTCACCTCCAACAATACGATATAGTTTTGACTGGGCACAATACACGAAATAGCAGTTTTGTTATGTCCATGGAAAATACGATTTTACTTGGCCTTTGTTCCGCGTTATGTAATCGTTACTTTATCGCGGGTGTCTAATAACGCGGGGGGTCATCCATGGACCCCAAGACCCGCGTTATGGCGAGGGATGCCTGTATATGGTTATATCCAGATCGGAAGTGTGGTATTATGCAGTCTCTCTATATATGGTATATATATATATACTGAGTCAAAAAAAGAAACTTCACAAAATGTAATTTGAAAAATAATGAATAGTTTTGCCTCTGATGATACATCTATGCATCCGAAATGGGATCCTTATCTGTCGACTCTAGAAAAACGTTAGCAAAACCCACTCAAACCCATCCATTCGTCGTGCAAATGGCGTTAGTGCCAAATCAGGTTTTGCACGTGCAGTCGATCACGTGATCTTCGCATCGAAGTTTTCTTCATATGCACATGTTTGCATTGGCCTCAAGAATTGAAAAAACACTTTTAAACCACAGTTCTAACGGTACTTGAAATGCCACGATTGTCAAATGTGCAACGTGAACGTGCCATTGGCATGTTGCAAGCGGGAAGATCAGTTATTGACGTTGCAAGAGCAATGGGATGCAGCCGTCGTACTGTGTATGACTTGTGAGGTCGTCTACAACAAAATTGGCACCACTTCTGATCGCGCATAGTCGGTTAGCCCACGTGTGACGCCACGAGCAGAAGACCGTCAAATCGTCCTCGCCACCTCACGCGACAGATTTCTGCCGGCTACACGAACCAGGGCTGAAATGTTTAGAGGTCGACTGTCCTCACAGACCATTCGAAATCGGTTGCGGGCTGCCAATCTCCCATTCTCGACGTCCATATCGTGGGCCAATATTGACGCCGTTCCATCAACGTCAACGTCTGCTGTGGGCCCAACGTCACCTCCAATGGACCCAGAGAGACTGGAATCGAGTCGTCTTTAGCGATGAATCCAGGTTTACCCTCAGATTCGCGGACGGCAGGCATAGAGTCTGGAGATGACGTCGTGAACGGTATGCCCAATGTTGTGTACAGGAAGTCGACAGATTCGGGGGCGGAAGTTGCATGGTGTGGGGTGCTTTCTGTGGGAACAACCATTCCCGACTTCTGGTCATCCGTGGAAACCTCACAGCTGCTGCTTACCACGACCAGGTGCTCATCCCTGAACTCATTCCTTTCATGGCGGCTCATGGCCCAGGTCTACAGTTCCAGCATGATAATGCTCGGCCGCATACCGCGATGTTGACACGAAATTTCCTTCAAAAGGCTGGAATCAACGTCATGGACTGGCCATCGAGGTCCCCTGACCTTAATCCAATAGAGCACGTGTGGGATGCACTTGGGAGAAGGCTTCGTGGTCTTAGGAACCAACCTCAGAATTTGCAGGAACTTGCGCTGCCTTGCAAGAGCAATGGCACAGAATCCCCAACCACGTGTTCACAAGCATCAGGCAGTCGATGAGGAGACGGTGTTTGGCAGTGGTGAATGAGCGGGGCGGCCATACATGACATTGAACTGAGAAATTTCGCATTTTTATTCTTGTGACTTGACATTCTGTATACCCATGTTTTGGAACGGCGGTGTAGCCTAATGGAACTGATTATGGCACTGTCAGTGTATCGAGTACATCACACAGATCTCAGCAATGAAATAATAACAATTTAACCATCTTATCATCTCTTGTTCTTTTATAGTGCCCTGAAGAAAGAATGTGAAGTTTCTTTTTTGACTCAGTATATATGGTAGTATCCAGACTTACAATATATGGTAGTATCCAGACTCTATATATATGGTAGTATCCAGACTTACTATTTATGGTAGTATCCAGACTTACTATATATGGTAGTATCCGGACTTACTATATATGGTAGTATCCAGACTTACTATATATGGTAGTATCCAAACTTACTATTTATGGTAGTATCCGGACTTACTATATATGGTAGTATCCAGACTTACTATTTATGGTAGTATCCAGACTCTATATACATGGTAGTATCCAGACTTACTATTGATGGTAGTATCCGGACTTACTATATATGGTAGTATCCAGACTTACTATTTATGGTAGTATCCGGACTTACTATATATGGTAGTATCCAGACTTACTATATATGGTAGTATCCGGACTTACTATATATGGTAGTATCCAGACTTACTATATATGGTAGTATCCAGACTTACTATTTATGGTAGTATCCAGACTTACTATATTGTAGTATCGGGACTTACTTACTATATATGGTAGTATCCGGACTTACTATATATGGTAGTATCCAGACTCTATATATATGGTAGTATCCAGACTCTATATATATGGTAGTATCCAGACTCTATATATATGGTTATATCCAGATCAGAAGTGTGGTATTATGCAGTCTCTCTATATATGGTAGTATCCAGACTTACTATATATGGTAGTATCCAGACTCACAATTTATGATAGTATCCAATCATAAAGAACTCATAAATCATACCTGTTTCCATGCTACAGCATGTGAACAGGAAGACACACAGAAACTAATGTTTGCAAAGGGAGGGAACTCTAAGTAATCTGCATAACATGCAGTTCGCTTGTCCACATTTTAAAACCTCAATTTCTATTGACAGAAGTATTTTGACAGTAAGTTATATGCCTTAGTCCAGTGAAAGTTCTGATTTTTCTGTTGCCTTAAATACTGATGCTTCTCTTCTAGACATGAGAACCCTGTTGTGGGCTGTGCCATTGAGGTAATTGCAGAAAATGACGACTTGATCGTCATCAACAAGCCATCCTCCATTCCATGCCATCCCTGTGGCAAGTACAGACACAACTCCGTTGTTTTCATCCTGGGCCAACAGCTGGGCTGCTCTAATCTGAGGAGTGAGTATATCAGGGCCAACAGCTGGGCTGCTCTAACCTGAGGAGTAAGTATATCAGGGCCAACAGCTGGGCTTCTCTAACCTGAGGAGTAAGTATATCAGGGCCAACAGCTGGGCTTCTCTAATCTGAGGAGTGAGTATATCAGGGCCAATAGCTGGGCTGCTCTAATCTGAGGAGTGAGTATATCAGGGCCAACAGCTGGGCTGCTCTAATCTGAGGAGTAAGTATATCAGGGCCAACAGCTGGGCTTCTCTAATCTGAGGAGTAAGTATATCAGGGCCAATAGCTGGGCTGCTCTAATCTGAGGAGTGAGTATATCAGGGCCAACAGCTGGGCTGCTCTAATCTGAGGAGTGAGTATATCAGGGCCAACAGCTGGGCTGCTCTAACCTGAGGAGTAAGTATATTAGGGCCAACAGCTGGGCTTCTCTAACCTGAGGAGTAAGTATATCAGGGCCAACAGCTGGGTTGCCTTACCATAAGAATACCCGGGTTCGAATTGGTCTTCAGCTTGTCATTAGAGGCGACTGATGTCAGGCTCGCAGACTTGGTTGACACATGGCATAGTATTCCAATGTATAGATCGATGTTCTTGGTGTCAATCACTGGATTGTCTGGTCCTCACTTCATTATTTGCAGACGGCCATCATATGACTGGAAAATTGTTTAATGGGGTGTTAAACAGCAAGCAAACAACAGAAACCCAGATAACATAAGAAGTAAATATATTAGGTCAAACAGCTTGACTGCCTTTACATATGTCAGGGCAAACATTTTGGCTGCTCTGTCATCAGGGGTGAGTATATAACGGCAAGTGGCTGGTTGGCTCCAATTACGGACCTCACTCACTCATCCCGTGTTTGTTGCAGACATCTACCGACTGGACAGACTGACGTCTGGGGTGCTCATTATGGGGAAGACATCCCAGAAAACAAAGGTGTTGGAGGACCAGGTGTTGAAGAGAGAAGTCCAGAAGGAATATGTCTGTCGAGTGGTTGGCAAGTTTCCTGAGTAGGTGATTTAGAGTTATATTTCAAAAATGACATATTCAGCATTGTCCAGTAATCCATCCATCCATCAGTACTGGATTTAAACAACTCTTCTCCAAACATGTGATATCATCATAATGAAACGTTTTGTACAGGTTTTTTACATCAAGATGGCCTCCAAAGCAGCAAGTTTGGTCAATAACAGCCCTGTAATTTTCATTTCTACATTGTTGAGTGCAGCATTAAACAACAAACAAATCATTTCTCACTATTTCTTACCCTCACCTTCATCTCTCATTTGCTTGTGTAATTACTTGAGATGCCAGGGACCTTGATGTTTCTTCCCAAGGTATAGGAATGTCAATGGAGACAGTCCATTCTGCATACTAAAAGTCCTTTCCATATTTCTTTGTCAAACTTTACAGATATCAGTCTAGCCATGAACTGGTGCCTTTTGCTATTCAGGAATATTCCATAGCAACAAATTAAACTTAGGCTTAAATGAGGTCAGAGTTGACACAGCCGGACTTAAATGAGGTCAGAGTTGACACAGTCGGACTTAAACTGAGGTCAGAGTTGACACAGTCGGACTTAAACTGAGGTCAGAGTTGACACAGTCGGACTTAAACTGAGGTCAGAGTTGACACAGTCGGACTTAAACTGAGGTCAGAGTTGACACAGTCGGACTTAAACACAAGGAACATCAAATATTTCTTGTTCAAATTTTAAACAAATTTCAGTCTGGCCAGGAATGTCTTTTGTAACCAGGGGCATGAGTTTTACACTGCACTGAACATTGGTGGGGGATATGCATGAGATGACTATTTCATGATTGTTCAGGGCGGTGGGGTAGCCTAGTGGTTAAAGTGTTTGCTCATCATGATGAAGACTCGGGTTTAATTCCCCACATGGGTACATTGTGTGAAGCCCATTTTTGGTGTCCCCCGCCGTCCCCCTGTTGGAATATTGCTAAAAGTGGTGTAAAACTAAAGCTCACTACTCATGATTGTTCTATATATATAACAGTATATACGTATAAGTATATATAAGTATGCTTTGAGTTTGAGTATCCTGTATACTTTCCAAATCTCCTTTGGACGTGTTGAATGTAGTCTTGTCTTCTACAGTTCCTGCGTCTGGTTGGTTTCAGTGGGAAGATCGAGTGCCGCGAGCCTATTGGTGTCATCTCCCAAAAGCTAGGGCTGTTCCGAGTGAGACCTGATGGGAAGCTGTGCCACACAACGTTTGAGAGGCTCAGTTATAACGGCACATCCAGTGTGGTTAGATGTATGTCACCCTCTCCATTAATCTCATATACCCACTACTGTACAGTTAATTAGAAATGATGGCTTACTTGATGAGAATACCCACAGAGCAAAGTATGTTTCTCTAGTTGTCAAGGGGACATAATAAAAAAGTGAATGGGTACCCAGAAGAATTAGCAGGTACTGTGGACCACTAGCGAATTGAGAATGAAAATCAATTTCACACTGTTCCACTGTTGTTTGTTAGTTTGTTGTTTAACACTGCACTCAGCAATATTCCAGCTATGGCAGCGGTCAGTAAATAATCAAGTGTGGACCAGACAATCCAGTGATCAACAACATGAGCATGATCTACGCAATTGGGATACAATGACGTGTGTCAGCTAAGTCAGCGAGCCTGACTACCCAGTCCCGTTAGTCGCCTTTTACGACAAGCATGGGTTGCTGAAGACCAATTCTAACATGGATCTTCATGGGTCAACTAATCCACTGACCGAAATGGTAATGACACGGAACCTTGAGCATCATAGTTGGAACTTAGCATTATATATTTAGAATATTTTATGATTATCATTTTTGTTTGATGAGTGTATCACCAGCCAAATGAATGTTGTAGGTGTGCCTCACACTGGGCGGACCCATCAGATCCGGGTACATCTACAGTTCGAAGGTAGGTCACGTGACACTTACAGACAGTGCGGCAGTTTGAACATCTTCAGACATACAGGCACTGTGTGATATCACAAAAATAGTGTAGTTCTGGTCAACCATGGCCCAGTTATCAGGAGGACATCATTTAGATGTTCATTCTTTCTCCTCCTCAGACAGGACCCTCTGGTTGTTGGATAAGTTCTAGAGTTGCAGCAGTAATGATCCATGTTTTGGTGGCATTTTTTCCGTGAGCATTGGATTAATCACCCCACCCCTACACCCTACCCCCAAAGTACTATAATCTGTACTTTTCTGAGAAAGTTTAATCCCAAATATAACATATGTTGTATTTGCCCACTTTCTAAAACATATAGTGTATTCATAGCTTCAGCAGGGCTAGTGCTGCCAATTGACACTTGTCAGAGAGGTACACAAAGTAAGTGATCTAGATGAGCTGTTGTCAGGCTTCCATTTTATGGACTCTGCGGAGGCTGAGTGGGTTAAATCGCTGATTTTGTGTGCTGACGACGAGGTGCCTTACTCTGTGAGCATGATAGGACTAAAGCCCCCAAAGTTATAGAATCTGTACATTACTGAGAAAGTAAATTCCAATTATAACATTTGCTGCTTTTGACCACTTTCTAAAAGTCATTGTGTATTCATACCAACAATGATTCCCCATGTTTTCAGTAGAACACTTTTGATTGATGTAAAGTTAAACCTTGTTTTGTTTCCTATGTTGTCATCTCCAGGGCATCCTATCACAAATGACCCGTTCTACAACAGTGAGGCCTGGGGTCCTAACAAGAACAAGGGAGGGGTGATGGAGCGGACAGATCAGGAGGTAACTGGATAGCAGTGACTGAACTGTGCAGAGTTACATCCCTTAGCTGTGAGGATCAACTGGTTGTAGTTCAATCCTGGGGTGCCATTGTACAAAGGGATCTGATGTCGAAAGAGGTCATAGCTTCCATAGTCCAACATAGGCTTAGAATCATCATTGTACTGATGTTGTTTTGTACAACCGAACCAAGATTAACCTTGCTGATGTTGTTTTGTACAACCGAACCAAGATTAACCTTGCTGATGTTGTTTTGTACAACCGAACCAAGATTAACCTTGCTGATGTTGTTTTGTACAACCGAACCAAGATTAACCATGCTGTTATGTTTCTAATAGTATTATGAAAATACCATAGTGTACCGATGAATTTCACTTTAAACAAAAAAATAAATCAAATAAAGTGAAATTAAGATTGCAAATCCTCATAATTTTCACAGTCTTAATTTCACTTTATTTGTTTTACTTTTTGGTTTTAATTGAAATTCATCGGTACGTTTTTGTTGCAAACAGACTATAATATACCTTGAGAGATTAACTAATATTCGTCTTGCTTTTGTGTTTATGAATCATCTTAAGGTGCTTATATGTTTATGAATCATGTTCAGGTATCTGATAGAATGCTGGAGCTTCACAACATAGGCCACTGGACCGATGGTGCAAACCCTCTCTACGAAGAGAGACTGAAGGAAATAGCTGATGCCGCCAAGCTGGAAGGGGAGACTGTGGATTGTATTGATACCAGCAAGTCAGGCGCTGAAGGGGCAGGCTGTAGTGGTGTTGATGAGAGACAGGCTGTTGGTGAACAGGGTGAGGAACCGCCGGTCAAGAGACCAAGAACTGATGAGTCCCCCTGTCCTTACATACCACCCTTTGACAGGAAGAAGTGGATCCCAGATCCAAGTTGTTCCAGTTGTCGGCTGAAGTATGTTGACCCGAGGAAAGAGGAGCTAGTCATGTACCTGCACGCTCTCAAGTATGCTGTAAGTGGTTCACCTCAGGTACCTTCAGAAATGACACGTGCAGATCCGGGTTGAAGTAACACATGCTTATCTTAAGACTTAATAAGAGGCGACTAAAGGGATCGGGTGGTCAGGCTCGCTGACTTAGTTGACACATATCATGTAGATCTATGTATAAAATATATAACTTCCCAGGGTTAAGTTGTGGAAGTATCATTTAGGATTACAAGCCTGTATTGAACTCATATTGCAGCCAATTCAGTGCTGATGAATTTTATTCAAGAGATACACGCTTGTCATTATACCCATGAAGATTGGGTTAGAATTGATCTTCAATAATCCATGCTTGTTGGAAGAGGCGACTAACGGAATCGGGTGGTCAGGCTTGCTGACTTAGTTGACACATGTCATCGGTTCCCAATTGCGTAGATCAATGCGCATGCTGTAGATCACTGGATTGTCTGGTCCAGATTCGATTATTTACAGACCGCCGTCATATAGCTGGAATATTGCTGAGTGTGGCGTAAAACTATACTCACTCTTTCAATCATCAGAAATATTACAAGGATGATGTCTCCTTTCATGGAATACATGTTGCCATGACACTTTTACCTTTGGTGAAGAGTAGATAGAAATGGATGATTACTCAAGTAATGACAATTCTAGTTTGAAAGATATGACCTTTTCCAGGCGCGTAGCAAGACGAATTTTTCGTATAAGCCCGATAGGTTGCAAAGCTTTATATTTAGATAGTATTGAGGGCTTTCCCAACCTTTTTAGCAACAATCATGTGTAAGCCCGGCCTTTTTTTTTATAATGGTAACTACGCCCCTGTTTTCTTATTTTGGGAAGTCCAACTACAAGTTGGGGGATTGAATTGAGATGATGTAGGGGATAATGGAATTTTTGCAAATAGCACTCTGAGGTTAGCAAAAACTTTAGGTTTTGTGGACCAGTAAATTAGCAGCTCAGACTCAGTGTTCCATGTTGTTCATGTTCCAGGGCCCTGACTGGGAATACAGCACACCATTACCAGACTGGGCCAAGGAAGACTGGCAGGACCACTGATTCCATCTGTGTTAGGCTCATGGTCTGGATGTGGTTTTGGTGTCTACTTGTGTCTGTTGTCAGATGGACGTGGTATGTGTGCATCAATTTGTGTCTGATCTCAGATGGACGTTGTGTGTGTGTCTGTCTGTCTACTTGTGTCTGCTGGATGTGGAATGTGTGCATCTGTTTGTGTCTGATGTCAGATGGATGTTGTGTGTGTGTCTGTCTGCCTACTTGTGTCTGCTGGATGTGGAATGTGTGCATCTGTTTGTGTCTGATGCCAGATAGATCTGTTGTGTAAGATTACAGATACATCAACTTATGACAAGAAACGCAATTAAATTTTGATTGTGAATAAACAGTGCCATTTAGAAAGTGGTCAAATGTAACATGTTATATTTGAGATAACACTTTCTCAGTAAAGTACATATCTTAGTGCTTTTGTTGGGTTGTGGCCCATCCGGGATTCGAACCCACACCCTCAGCATCAGCCGCCTAACGTGTTCAGCCACCGCGGCCTCCAGTTTACTAAGAATGTGTAATTCCAAATATAACGTGTTAAATTTTGATTATGTGGGATTTTTATGGAAATGAAAGAAAGACAGACCTCTGATACAGATGTATATAGATCCCAAAATTTGGACTGTTCTTATTGCTGGGATGGGGAGGGAGGGTTGGGGGAATAGTGGGTAGGATTGTTCTTAGTACCTGTATCATATTTTATTAAACATTTTGCATTACCCGCCATTGTACATGTACGTTTTTCTTGACATCACCGTCCCTGTAATAAATAACCTTTCTTTGAGCCACCTACTCAGTGGCATTTCCCAAGCTGGTGACCCCCATCACCAGATCCTCATTTCAACTGTCCTTTAAGTTGATCTTTTCATCCACAGAATCCCAACAAAAAACATGAGGGGAGTTACCCTAAGGGCAAAACTTGTCAAATTGTGCAGATAGGACTGCTCTTAGTCAGTCTCACAGTGCCTGAACTGCATTATTTCTAATTCTGCCTAGCCCTGTCAGCAATGGTATAGCCCTAAATAAAGTACGTCCTGGGGTTCTGTTTCTCCCTTCTCACTTCGGCTCTTTTTCAGTTAAAAGGTTTTGTTTGTTTCTATCAAATTAATATATAAGACTAAGCGTTACTGCTGGAGCAAATGATCTCTCACCAAAGGTGGCCTGTCTATTTAACTTTTCTTGATAGAGATGGGAGATGAATTAACAGCTTTGCATGAAACATTATTATCTGTTAAATTTAGTGCAAAATATACAGGTGTATTTGATAGCCGAAATGGTCTCGGAAATTATTGCAAAATGTTGTTTCAGTGACAATAACTGTGTGAACAATCATCAACATGTAAAAGAACTCCCGAGATTATCAGTTCCAAAAGACAATATTGTATTTTTGGATAATGATTATGATTGCAGTGTCACTTTAATTTAATATGTTCATTGTTGATGGAATATTGCTCAATCGGCATAAAACTAAACTCACTCACGCCATCGCTTTGAATGTCTCTCAACACAGTGCCGTGATTTAGCTTCGGACCATAACCAGCTCCTTGATATTTATGCTCAACTCTATAGCATATAACGCTGAATCCCACCAGGATTCGAACTCGCAGTGTGAGGCATCACACCGAAAGCACACACGATCAGCGATCTAACACACTCAGCCATTGTGGCTTCCACAAAAATGGGCCTAGTGGTTAAAGCGTTGGCTCGTCACGCGGAAGACCCGGGTTCGAATCCCCACATTGGTACATTGTGTGAAGCCCATTTCTGGTGTCCCCTGCCATGATGTTGCTGGAATATTGCTAAAAGCGGAGTAAAACCAAACTCTGTCAGTCAGTCCACAAAAATGGAGTCCAAACCCCGATTTCTCCGAGTTTTGATGTAAGTTTTGAGTTTTTGCTCAAATTTGAGAAAACGCAGGAAAATGCATTTCCCAAAATACACTGAAATCGATATTAAACTCAAAGATAGCAGAAACTTTGCATCCTTTGTGGACCCCTTCTGACGTGTGCATTTCTTTGGGTGTGGAATGATCTGTAAAATTAAAAATGTCGGGTATCATTTCTGACATCAATATTCCATTATATTCACATATTCAAAGTTGTCATCAATGACCATGCAATCTCATAACCTGATACAACCAAGCAAAACAACACTATGTAACGTGCAACATTCCTATGAGGTCAGCAGTTCCTATGAGGTCAGTAGTTCCTATCAGGTCAGTAGTTCCTATGAGGTCAGCAGCTCCTATGTGGTCAGTAGTTTCTATGTGGTCAGTAGTTTCTATGAGGTCAGAAGTTTCTATGAGGTCAATAGTTCCTATGTGGTCAGTAGTTCCTATGAGGTCAGCAGTTTCTATGAGGTCAGTAGTTCCTATGAGGTCAGCAGTTTCTATGAGGTCAGTAGTTCCTATGTGGTCAGTAGTTCCTATGTGGTCAGTAGTTCCTATGAGGTCAGCAGTTTCTATGAGGTCAGCAGTTTCTATGAGGTCAGCAGTTCCTATGAGGTCAGTAGTTTCTATGAGGTCAGCAGTTCCTATGAGGTCAGCAGTTTTTATGAGGTCAGTAGTTCCTATGAGGTCAGCAGTTTCTATGAGGTCAGTAGTTCCTATGTGGTCAGTAGTTCCTATGAGGTCAGCAGTTTCTATGAGGTCAACAGTTCCTATGAGGTCAGTAATTCATATGAGGTCAGCAGTTCATATGAGGTCAGCAGTTCCTATGAAGTCAGCAGTTCCTACGAGGTCAACAGTGCAATAACTACTCTTGACAGATTGAAATGTATCTCACAACAGTTAGTGAGAAAATGGGAGAGTTCTTTAAAATAATAAAAAAATGAAGTAACAACTTGTACAGATATCTCCCAACCATACACATTACACTCACTCACGCAACATAATGTTGATATTGACGGAATCTTACAATCGACACTGTTTTAAGATGGTTTGTCGGCATCATTTACGGTTTCATTTATGCTCTTCCCGAATGCTGCTACTTCAAGTTCATCTCGAACGAGTGATGCTTACTGAACTCGACTAGTTCCTTACTAAACTAGACCGCCTCCGTGGTGTAGTGGTTAGAGCGTCCGCCCAGAGAGCGGAAGGTCGCGGGTTCGATCCCCGACCGCGTCATACCAAAAGACGTTAGCAATGGTACTTGTTAGTCCCTGCCTGGCGCTCGGCATTAATGGGTACAACAAGGACTGGTCGGCTCGGAGTCAGTATACTGTGTCTGAGTGGGGTATTCATGCTTCACTGCGGCATGGTATCTCAGTGGGCTAGCACTATAAAACCAGCTTCAGTCTGGGCTAGTACAAGTAGCCGCACATACACATACACACGCATGCACGTCGTCATATGAGCGAAATATTCTAAAGTACGACGTAAAATCCAATTTCACCTCACCTCACCTTACTAAACTACACTCGACACTTGCGTTACCTTTCCGGCTGCACTTGACAAGAGTGTTCCTTGTCTACTGACTACACTTGACAAGCGCGTTCCTTGTTCAACTACACTTGACAAGCGCGTTCCTTGTTCAACTACACTTGACAAGACTGTTCCTTGTTCAACTACACTTGACAAGCGCGTTCCCTGTTCAACTACACTTGACAAGTGTGTTCCTTGTTCAACTACACTTGACAAGACTGTTCCTTGTTCAACTACACTTGACAAGACTGTTCCTTGTTCAACTACACTTTACAAGCGTGTTCCTTGTTCAACTACACTTGACACCTCCCCAGAACCACCTCCCCAGAACCACACACACACACACACACACACACACACACACACACACACACACACACACACACGGGCGATAAATTATTATCGGCCCCTAATAAAGACGCTTTTTTAACTGATGTATACAACGAACTGTTTCTTCAGCCATATATGTCGACTGTCAGTCGGAGAAGAAACCTCGATTCGTTTGCAAAAAACAAGCCAGTTACTGGTGTTACTTATCCCTCCCCTAATACTGTAGTAATGCATTCAATGACCGGATTTGCGCTGATATAATTTTTAATTTAAAACCGTAATAGCATTCTTTCCTCAAGGATAGGTGTTTGGACTTGTTCACTATTTTCTCTTCTGTACCTATGACGTTGATAGTCTTTCTGTAGTCAGTTGACCTTGATTGTAATATGTGGCGTCTTGTGGACGATGCATCATTGTAGCAACAATATATTTCCCCAGTACAGGATACATTTACGAAGCACTTTTATGATGCGACTTTTCGGTATAGATCCTTACACCGTTGTCAACCAGCTCCACAAATACATCCATCCTTCATTGTTACTCACAAATTTTTAAAATGCCGACCAAAAATGATTTCACAACGCGTCAATTGCATGACCAGTTTCACCCAAAATACCAAGAAACAATACAGACAAAAGTAACGTCTGTCTGAAGCCCCAATTGTTCATGCAAGGTATTCATAAAACATAAACATTTAGGTCTAATTTTTAAGCATGAGCAATGTTCCTGCTCATGGCGTATCTCAAATGTATTCGATCAAATATGTCTGGCTACAATTGTTTAATATGTGAGCATTTCTTTGGGTGTGGAATGATCTGTAAAATTAAAAATGTCCGGTATCATTTCTCACATCAATATTCCATTATTTTCACATATTCACAGTTGTCATCAATGACCATGCAATCTCATAACCTGATACAACCAAAACAACACTATGTAAGGTGCAACATTCCTATGAGGTCAGCAGTTCCTATGAGGTCAGCAGTTCCTATGAGGTCTAGTTCCTATGAGGTCAGCAGTTCCTATAAGGTCAGTTCCTGTGAGGTCAGTTCATATGAGGTCAGTAGTTCCTATGAGGTCAGCAGTTTCTATGAGGTCAGTAGTTCCTTGGAGGTCAGCAGTTTCTATGAGGTCAGAAGTTTCTATGAGTTCAGCAGTTCCTATGAGGTCAGTAGTTCCTATGAGGTCAGCAGTTTCTATGAGGTCAGCAGTTTCTATGAGGTCAGCAGTTTCTATGTGGTCAGCAGTTCCTATGTGGTCAGTAGTTCCTATGAGGTCAGCAGTTTCTATGTGGTCAGTAGTTCCAATGAGGTCAGCAGTTCCTATGAGGTCAGCAGTTATGAGGTCAGCAGCTCCTATGTGGTCAGTAGTTCCTATGAGGTCAGCAGTTCCTATGAGGTCAGCAGCTCCTATGTGGTCAGTAGTTCCTATGAGGTCATTAGTTCCTATGAGGTCAGCACTTCCTATGAGGTCAGTAGTTCCTATGAGGTCAGCAGTTTCTATGAGGTCAGCAGTTCCTATGAGGTCAGTACCTATGAGGTCAGTAGTTCCTATGAGGTCAGCAGTTCCTGTGAGGTCAGTAGTTCCTATGAGGTCAGCAGTTCCTATGAGGTCAGTAGTTCCTATGTGGTCAGCAGTTCCTATGAGGTCAGGAGTTCCTATAAGGTCAGCAGTTCCTATGAGGTCAGGAGTTCCTATAAGGTCAGCAGTTCCTATGAGGTCAACAACTCCCATGAGGTCAGCAGTTCCTATGAGGTCAGCAGTTCCTATGTGGTCAACAGCTCCTATGAGGTCAACAGCTCCTATGAGGTCAGCAGTTTCTATGAGGTCAGCAGCTCCTATGAGGTCAGCAGTTCCTATGAGGTCAACAGCTCCTATGAGGTCAGCAGTTCCTATGAGGTCAACAGCTCCTATGAGGTCAGCAGTTTCTATGAGGTCAGCAGTTCCTATGAGGTCAGTAGTTCCTATGAGGTCAGCAGCTCCTATGAGGTCAGCAGTTTCTATGAGGTCAGCAGTTCCTATGAGGTCAGCAGTTCCTTCGAGGTGAACAGTGCAATAACTACTCTTGACAGATTGAAATGTATCTCACAACAGTTAGTGAGAAAATGGGAGAGTTCTTAAAAAATAATAAAATATGAAGTAACTTGTACTGATATCTCCCAACCATACACATTACACTCACTCAGCATAATGTTGATATGGACGGAATCTTACAATCGACACTGTTTTAAGATGGTTTGTCGGCATCATTTACGGTTTCATTTATACTCTTCCCGAATGCTGCTACTTCAAGTTCATCTCGAACGAGTGATGCTTACTGAACTCGACTAGTTCCTTACTAAACTAGACCGCCACCGTGGTGTAGTGGTTAGAGCGTCCGCCCGGAGAGCGGAAGGTCGCGGGTTCGAACCCCGACCGCGTCATACCAAAAGACGTTAACAATGGTACTTGTTGGTCCCTGCCTGGCGCTCGGCATTAATGGGTACAACAAGGACTGGTCGGCTCGGAGTCAGTATACTGTGTCTGAGTGGGGTATTCATGCTTCACTGCGGCATGGTATCTCAGTGGGCTAGCACTATAAAACCAGCTTCAGTCTGGGCTAGTACAAGAAGCCGCACATACACATACACACGCATGCACGTCGTCATATGAGCGAAATATTCTGAAGTACGACGTTAAACCCAATTTCACCTCACCTCACATTACTAAACTACACTCGACACTTGTGTTACCTTTCCGGCTGCACTTGACAAGAGTGTTCCTTGTCCACTGACTACACTTGACAAGCGTGTTCCTTGTTCAACTACACTTGACAAGTGTGTTCCTTGTTCAACTACACTTGACAAGCGTGTTCCTTGTTCAACTACACTTGACATGCGCGTTCCCTGTTCAACTACACTTGACAAGTGTGTTCCTTATCCACTGACTACACTTGACAAGCGTGTTCCTTGTTCAACTACACTTGACAAGCGTGTTCCTTGTTCAACTACACTTGACAAGTGTTCTCCTTGTTCAACTACACTTGACAAGCGTGTTCCTTGTTCAACTACACTTGACAAGCGCGTTCCTTGTTCAACTACACTTGACAAGCGCGTTCCTTGTTCAACTACACTTGACAAGCGCGTTCCTTGTTCAACTACACTTGACAAGTGTGTTCCTTGTTCAGCTACACTTTCCAAGTGTGTTCCTTGTTCAACTACACTTGACAAGAGTCTTCCTTGTTCAGCTACACTTGACAAGAGTCTTCCTTGTCCACTGACTACACTTGCCAATCGCGTTCCTTGTTCAACTACACTTTCCAAGTGTACGTGTGTTCCTTGTTCAACTACATTTGCGAAGCGCGTTCTTTGTTCAACTACATTTGCGAAGCGCGTTCTTTGTTCAACTACACTTGACAAGTGTGTTCCTTGTTCAGCTGACTACACTTGCCAAGCATGTTCCTTGTTCAACTACACTTGTTCAACTACAACCGATGCCCTGATCGTCCTGGCAGGAGTGTTACTCAATTGAGTAGATGCCCATAATGTTGATAACTGGATTGTCCTGTCCAGACAAGATTATTTGCAGACCGTAGCCATACAGAGGGCATATATCTAAGTGTGGCGTTAAGCAACCAACAAATAAACCTTGAACTACTCGTACATGGAGAGAGTGTACAGCTAAATTTGTTGCAACGGTTAAGCTGTACCAGCCTTATGGATTAATTGTGCCTCCCTTTCATCTCTGCACGGTGTCCCATTTCTTCATGAATAAAACATATGTATGTGAGAAACCTGATTTCAATTAACATATACATGGAATCTATTTTGTCAGTTATTCTTCACTCATTCTGATGATAAAATCCATTAATTTTGTATTTAATGACATGAATGACAGCTCGTTCAGCCATGCGTCATGGAGTAAGGTCCCCAAACGAGGTCAGGGGCAGACAATCTGCATTCCCCCCACTGGCATTTTATACAACGTTAAAGAAGCGTACAGTGCATGAGATAGGTAATAGCTGATAGCCGTGCGAGTTCATGCTCCACAATCAGGAACTGTACCCTCCTAACTACCAGCCAGCAACTCTTAGGTGTAGGATCGTGTGACCAATACATGTATTACACCTGGGAACATTCATCTGGGTATCACACAGGTGGCCATCCCTTAACACATCCACTGCTCAACGTTTGCTTTGGATATGCTCTATGTCAGAGGTCGCATCGTCAGAAATTGCTCGAAGCTCGTGGTGTACGAATTGTATTCGACGAAACATGCGTATTTTGCGTATTGAAGCCACAAATTAAAACCATTCATATTGACTTTTTGTATAGACAAAAGAGCAATATTCGCATTTAGATGTTTTTAAAACATATACATATACACATCCCGATTGGCGTTTTCCTCTGATTTATAATACTGCATAACATTGTCGAGTCGGACCCCCGTCACCAAGGAAGCGTCCTATTCTGAGTAATATAGGTTATGGAAGGGATACAAGTATATCTTGAACATATAGTGCAGGTAGTGAACAGTGGCACCCTATGCCACTGAGAAGAAGACGTCTGGTTATTGTGCGGGATGTCTAGGGTAAACGCACCCTCGAAGATCAGGGTTGGAATTGGTCCTCAGCAACCCATGCTTGTCGTAAGTGACGACTAACGGGATCGGGTGGTCAGGCTCGCTGACTTGGTTGACACATGTCATCGGTTCCCAGTTGCGTAGATCGATGCTCATGCTGTTGATAACTGGGTTGTCTGGTCCAGACTCGATTGTAAACATACCACCGAGATATAGCTAGAATATTGCTGAGTGTGGTTTTTAAAAACACACAAACAAAAACCCATGAAAATGATATTGGCAAGTGGAACTAGATATTTATATGACAAATGCTTGCAATGTTTGGTCATTACAGGAAGTATTTCCATGTAGTCGGTGCTTGAACATAACGGAATAAATGCATTGTCTATCTTACAACATATCTGTTGAGTTATAGACTTTTGAAATATGCCGGACATACATGATATTATCGGCACTGACATTTTCAGTCAATTTGTAAATATCCTGATTCGCCAGGACGTGGAGATGGAGTAACGGGGGTGATTTTAGGTTACTGAGCTTGCCTTGCTTTGTATCTGATGTATGTGCCTATCAAATGCTTCTTAGACATAATACAAGTAACATGTACAAAAAGGGTATTCGTTTGGTTCGTGTCTTATTACACATTACTTTAAGAAAATATGCTTGGTTATCTTTATCGGGAATTCCTATGACGCGAAATAAATGTCCTTAGACGATGTATACAGATACGATTTACTCCACAACTGGTATGAAAAATATCATCACCAAGTTTTGGTAAGGGGTAAAATGTCTGTAAGTATCCTGACTTTGGATGTCGGTAAGATTCCTTTGGTTGGTCAGTTTGTCTAGTCGGTTGTGAGCATTGGGGACGTGGATGGGAATTTCAAAAGGTTTTGTTTTTATGAGTTGTCCCTTTGAAACGGAGATATGCGTATCCTTAGTGAACTCTCTCTAACTTCTGTTGAAATTGTCAGGTATACTGGCATAATGGAAGCGAACGTTCATCGTTTCATGTTACGCTAGCCTAATGATATTGTCGCGTCATTTAGTTGAGCCTGGTTATCAAGGCATAAATAGCTTAACCCATGATGGGGCCCTTACTTGAGTATCTGAACCGATCATAATACAAGGAATCTCTCTTAAGTGTAATAGAAGCAAGAAGTTTGTTTGACGTTACTGAAGACATCTATACTTGCTGAACTATATTAGCCTTGCATTATAAGTATTTTTTAATGGTTACATTTCTGGGTCTCTATGACAAGTCATAGAGAATGACTGTTCATCAATGCACGAAAACGTTTTCCGCTTAGATTTTCAAATGCATCGTACACAGCTGCAAATATCTGGAGTAAAGTATATGTATTGAATAGCTGATTGTGATTACATGTAACTTGATCATACGCAATGGTGTTTTGTACAGTTCTCGCTGTAAGAGACAGTTTATGGAGAGACCAGCTGCAATTGACGACATACATTGAGTTAATAGCCTAACGTGATGATAGGCAATGGTGTTTTTTACAGTTCTTGCTGTAAGAGACCAGCTGCAATTGACGACATACATTGTGTCAAATCCCTTTCATGCTGACATTTAAGTATTGGGACTTACCTCTAATCAATTACGGGCTTCTATGCCCCTAGGCATACTTTGACATATATTCATTAACCTGTCTCAAAGGTTACAAACATGTTAGAAACATCTGGTTTGGACTTGATCTTCAGCAACATAAAAAAATTATGATTTTCGTCAGAAAGGATTAACATTATCGGACTGACAGGCTCGCTGACTCTATTGATGCAAGTCATCGTATCCCAATGGCGATTAAGCGATGTCAGTCATCGGGTACAGGGAGAAGAAATGCCCGGTTCTAATACAGAGACAGAGATGAAATTATGTTACTAACAAGTACCCGTGACTATAATATCAGGTCATGATATCTTTTGAACAATTAAGAATTACCAAACGATCCACTGCCTGGGACCATGCAGCAAGCAAAGATTCATTTTTGGTGATGAGACAAGTCTTACAGTTATGTTTATATTTTTATTTTCGGAACATTATATCTTGAAATGCATGATGTAGTGGTTTCCTTTGGGTACTCAATATACATATATTCACCCAATGGCAACAGTGAACTTTTCAGTCACTGACAAAATCAATATAAGTTGTGCATGTAATGAAGGATAAGAGAAAGCATTATGGATGATGCGTGAATGACATTATCAGAATTGACATACCAGAATGACAATCTAGATGCCGCATGAACTTGGAAAATACACGAAAATATAAAAGAAAAAACACTTGTCAGGGGCTGATACAGCTGTTTGAGAAAAGAGGGGTGCACAATTCAGAAAGAGGGGTTCACAGTTCATTTCCACCCATTTTCTCGAGAGTATCAATGGTCACTTAATAAACGTTCAGGACAAAAGGAAGGGGACCCGCCTATGCTTGTGTGCCACAGTCAGTAGCATTAAACATTCGTATAATTGTTGTGAATATGATCCTTTCTGGGTTTTAAGGTCAACCGGGAACATATGCACTCCACTAAATGTAATCAAGGTAGATGGATAGATAAAACCATAATGGCCTAATGGCGTGGCACAGCTTTCAAATCCACTTAAAGGAAAATGTTCTTCTTTTAAGAATATATGTGGTAGTCCGGGATATATGTGGGTATTTTACCCACACGTTCAGCATTTTTTAGCCTTATTAAATACTTATATCGTTATTTCATATCAAATTCTTATATCACTGTGCTCTCTGTAAGCCTCTGCCTCAGAGCTGATAGCAATTCAGTGCAGGGCGTCGATGAAGTGTAGGTAAAATGGATCTTTATGCCTGTGACCAATTATGTCACTGACGTCGATGCGAGCCATTGGTGGTAATATAATTATTATATTTAAACAAACATGAACACAGTTAAACATAAATGAACAACATTTACAATTATTTCAGACGTTATAAATGTAAGCGAACAAATGCTCTCTTGTTTCATGAAATACGAAATAAATGCAAAATGTGGCGGCTAAATGACACGTAAATTTTAAACGTTGGTTATATGGGCCTCGGATATGTAAATTTCCTCACATGGTAAAATTTGAGAAATATTGTTCCTTCGTCTGGAGTATGTCATGCATTCCCTGCCCCATCTAGTGTGTCCAACGACCGCTCTCACCTTCTCCCCCTAACCCTACGTACTCCGCCCCCCTAATCCAATGACTTAAACGAAGACGATGAGGATTACTTTTTGGCAAGTCATCGTTTTCTGTACCCAAATAGAATGTTACTAATGCAATGCTTGTTACAGATTGTTGATTATTAAACATTTAACAATATGTGCAATATTTTTATTGTTGTACAGTTTACCTTAAGAAGAGCTAAAACTGTATATTCACATACTGAACTCACTCACGTATATTCGCAGTTGATGAGAATCACATATCAGCCAATGAAATCTTTAGACCCGTGACGATCCGGGTTGGAATTGTTACAGTTGGTCTTCAGCAACCAATGCTTGTCTTAAGAGGCGTCATGCTCGCTGACTTGGTTGCTGCATGTCATCAAATGTGTACATCAAGGCTCATAATGCCTATCACTGGATTGTCTGGTCCATACTGGATTATTTACCAACTGACGTCATACAGTACCAACTGACGACATACAGCTGGAAGATTGATGAGCGCGGCGTTAAAAAACAAACACACTTTCTTCACTCGTTTGCCTTTCAGTAAAATATCTTTGTTGTGGAAGCCGATAATGAAGCGTGCGATTTCCTCGCGTACACTTGGACATCTATATACTTTCACACGAATATTATGAAATTTTCAAATTGGTTTAAATCACATATTCCACTTGGTTAGTTTTCTATTGAGGATAAGCTAATTTGGTTTTGAATATTAATAAGCATTTATGAAATCAATGGATAAAAGGAGACAAAACACATTGGATATTCGACAATATCATGATCATGCGTTTATGAAGTGATGATATCAAACGAGCATTAAGGAAAAGGAGTATATCCTGCTCCATCGGTGGCACCCGTCATAAGTGCGAGTGAGTGAGTTTTAGTTTTACGCCGCTTTTAGCAATATTTCAGCAATATCTCAGCAGACGACACCAGAAGATGGGCTTCACACACTGTGCCTATGGGGGAATGGAACCCGGGTCTTCCGCGTGAGGCACGAACGATTTAACCACCCAGGCTACCCCATCGACCCATTAACAACACATAAGCAAAAACTGAAATCGCAACGGACACAATGTTATGAAAGCGTCCTTCTCATGTTTACCAGAAAACCGTTTGTAAGCTTTACTGAGGCCGTGACTGTTTTAACACTGAACGAGCATAAAAGCGGCGTTTGATTCCTTGACCAGCTTTTGTTGGACGCCCCTTTTCACACCACAGCAGAATTTCTGTGTTCACTAAAGAGGTCCACTGCGGCCATATCTGTACAATGCCATCCGGTAAGTCTGCGCACCTAAGCACATCGATCGCAACACGGCAGCTAACGTCTCTTATTTTTTGTGGTTTACATGAATAAACACGCTGGTATGGATCATATTTACCTAGAAATATAAGTATAATATAAATACCGTATAATAATACGACGACTACAAGATTCTAACGTTGCATTATGCCATACAGTTGACCTTACCGGTGTTCTGACGACATCGCCTGCTGTCCGGTAACTCTGCGCAGCAACTGATGCGCATAAAATCCGGCTAGAGAAAATGGCGGACGTTCACAAAAAAGCGAACATTTTTTGTCCTTGAATACATGAGACAGCGATGCTAGTACATACTTTATTGACTGCACAAGTTTATACATGCTACTGTGAATTACATCCGTGAGCAATCTACATTTTGCCATGGAGGTGTCGGGTACTTGTATGAATATTCAACAGGTCACCATGAACTTGTCAGCGATGTGGGTGGGCGTGGCAGGTATGTACATTGATGTTTTTCGTAGTTCAGTCTCGTTCATAATTACTTTTTAAATTTTTTAAATGTTATGCCTTTGTACTTACCTTTAGTGATTAAAAGCCAGTCCCTTGTAGAAATGTCCCGATTTCAAGCCTAAATGTAGTAGCAGACGATACTTACAGTCTATACGGAAGTACGCTATTGCAGCTGCGCAGACTTACCGAACGCGTAAACTTAACGGACTCGCTTGTACCCTTTTTCTGAAAGTTTGAGATAATATATTGAACTTTCAAGGTGATGTTGAAAATTCAAAGTGAAATGTGGCGAAAAGGATATAACCTCATAAAAAATTGAAGGTTCCGCAGTGAATGTCAAGGTACTATGTGTAAATTGTAAGGGCAATAAAAATGTTGTATCAGCAAATGCATTATTTTGAAATGTCAAATTGGTATGTTATATTTTTTAAAATAGCATCTAGAAATTAGTGTTTTTGTTGTTTTGGGCTTCCCTAGTTCACGCCTCAGATCACAAGTGACAGTGTCGTTCTTGTCAAACAGGTTAGGAATGCGTCTTCGCTTCGCATTAACTTCATCCATCGCTGACTACAGGTGCTACTCAAGTTACAAAAAGAAAATATATATAAAATGGCCCCAAAACCTGTGTCATGGGGTGTGACATAATACCTCGTATGGTATGGTCGGGGATTTTGCTGGTAAAACTCGGTCAGTTCATTACACGGTCAAACGCATTATGTTTGGGTTCCATTTTCTTCGATGTGTCAGAGATATATATGGGAAGATCTTACTCCAGACGATCACGAACACTTGAGTGTGATCAAGTTACAATGACAAGCTCTTCCTCGTTGAAAGCCTGGGTGGCCTGATCGGGTTTGAAGATGGAACATGTGGGCATACGGCAAGGGATATTATTTTACAATTTATAACTGCTTAATGTATTACTTGTTCATTACATGCTTTCGAAGGTATCGCTGGTGCAGTATTTGAACAAACGTATCAGGTGAAATATTATTGCATGACAGTTCGAACATACATATCGGGTGAAATAGTATTGCATGACAGTTCGAACAAATGTATCGGGTGAAATAGTATTGCATGGCAATTCGAAAAACGTATCGGGTGAAATATCATTGCATGACAGTTCGAAAAACCTGTCGGGTGAAATATTGTATGGCAGTTTGAACAATCATATCGAATGAACTATAACTGCATGAGAGTTTATCTGACTTTCTGTTAGTTCCAGGGCATCCATAATATCACAACCCTCCATATACGACGTCAGAAACAGTGTACAAAGAGATACGGAGTGGTGTTATACTATACACGTTTATGCATGAATGCATCATGCCTCAGATTTGGAGGTCCATTCAAAAAGGCTCAGGTACATTTTCAGGCACACACACACTGCCCGTAGCTGGAACTAGGTCATCTGTAGGCGTTACTAATCCAGTCAAAACACCGAATGGGTACGCCATCCACTCCGCCCAACAGATAACACAACAAGGCAAATGGATCAGACGTTCGATACTGAAGGGGAGATCCCCATGTTGGACATGAACACCAAGAACAGCGACGACGTCACCACACTTGAAACCGACGTTACCGAAAATGGAAGAATCAAGTGGTCCAACCAAATGGATTTTTTTCTGTCTTTGGCTGGGTATTGTGTTGGTTTTGGAAATTTGTGGAGATTTCCCTACTTCTGTAACAGAAATGGTGGAGGTAAGAAAAAAAACATATCTCAAAACAGAATGTAAGTATTTATGTTGATTCTTGATTCACGAACTCGTAAATCTTCATCCCGAAACGCCTTAGACGAATACGCTACCCAAGACGGAGCATCAGTTGAATATTTCAGTACTGTTACATGGCATTAGCCTAAGAGCAATTGTCACTGTAACAACTTTCTTTAGTCGGCAGAGGCCATCTCTGTTGATATCAATCTCGAAAGTTATGCTGAATATACACATACATCAGTTTCTAATTACAGTACTTACGGTTTCACTGATGACAGATTACACATCCAGACGTTAAGTGGAAATTGCACAACATCATAGCAGATAGTCTACTGTTGATGGGCCATGGTATAAGTGTTGTACTATACATGATTGATTGTGTGAGTTTATATTCATTCATTTATTCATTCATTCATTCATTCATTCATTCATTCATTCATTCATTCATTCATTCATTCATTCATTCATTCATTCATTCATTTATTCATTCATTCATTCTTTCATTCATTCCCACCCAAGTCCTCGTAGCCCCCAGCGTGGTGGCCTTACCTTGGCTGCTGGTGATCTACACCCCATTTTCACATTGTATGGTTATGAATGGTCATAATTTCTTTCATACGTTAACATATTTTAGTGTCTATTATTAATGTACTATTAGTTTAGCCACGATATTACTGAAATACTGAAACATGTTAGGTTTGGGAAATATGGTTTGCATATACAATTCAGATAATGAACAATAATTAAATTTGCAAAATGATTCAAAGCTTTCAAATGTAACCCATAAAACATACAGCTGAGGTCAGTCTACATTACGTTCAAAGATTTTGTAACTTTAATGTCTTAATATTCGATTACAACAAACCAATCATTAGGCTTCAAGGATGCATGTTCCTGTTGTTGAGTAATCGGTATTGGTGTATTGGTCTTCGGCGGGACGAGCGAGCGAGCGAGTGAGTGAGTGAGTTTTAGTTTTACGCCGTGCTCAGCAATATTCCAGCTATATGGTGGCGGTCTGTAAATAATCGAGTTTGGACCAGACAATCCAATGATCAACAGCATGAACATCGATCTGCGCAATTGGGAACCGATGACATGTGAGCCTGACCACCCGATCCCGTTAGTCGCCTCTTACGACAAGCATGGGTTACTGAAGATCAATATTCTAACCCTGACCTTCACGGGTCGCCGGGACGAGCGAAAGCTTTAACCACAAGGCTACCCCATGGCCCCACCATATCTGTGGATAATCAAGGTGATTATGACAATGTAGACTGGATAAGATAAAAGAACGCGTAATTACGCTCTAAAACCAAACAGCTTCGTCCTTTTATTGTAGAGAAATTCGACAAATGCAAGGGTAATTTGTCCGAAAAGTAGTCACAACCTGGCCTTAAGTCGTCACCATACAGTATACGTAGCCTGTCACGGACCTAGAATTCGGTTTCACACACGTTTGATAACAATAATCTGAGATAGGTTTCTCACCTTAAAGTATGTAAGAAATCGAAATTAAGGGCATTACTGTATACATTCACCTCATCGTGTACTGATACAACTCCCATCTGCATATCTACACACACACGCACCTACACACTCATTCATGCAGACAGACATACGCATGTATACAGAGTACAGACAGACAGACAGAGATACATGCACGTACACAGACACACACGCACACACACTGACACCCGCAAGCACTCAGACAAATACACGCATGCAGACACACACACACGCAAATACGCACACATGCACACACACATGAACGTACAAAAACACACAGAAATAACTTGCCTGCGTCATTGACGTGATATGATATGGCCTTGCGGTAAATTTAGTTGACTATGAATTTAGAGTATCGTTGGCATGAAAAACTGTCCTTAAAGTGAAATGGTTGTTGCAAACAGCTGCGTAAGGATTCATGACGTTTACCAAAAAACTGTGGACATTTGTTTCCTAGCTTTCCGAATTAACTGTGACAAGCATTAATCTTCTGCACCTGTCAAGCAAATTTCATTACATTTACAAAAGGAAACTGTGGACATGAGTTTCTTGGCGATCCGAATTAACTGTGCCACGCATTAATTTTCAGAATTAACTGTAACAAGCATTAAATTCCAGCATTATTCAAGCTGGGTCGTTACTTTTACAAAGGGAAACTGTGGACATGTGTTTCCTAGTGATCCGAATTAACTGTGCTACGCATTAATTTTCAACATCTTTTAAGCTATGTCGTTACTTTTACAAAGGGAAACTGTGGACATGTGTTTCCTAGCGATCCCAGTTAACTGTGCCACGCATTAATTTTCAACATCGTTCATGCTACAGTCCGTTTGAGTCAGAAACGGACCGATGAATTGCAAATTTTATCAGTGTACAAAATTGCCACATAAATATAAATAGAACACATGTTTATCATTTACTAATATCCAACAGCTTTCTTATATTTGAACATTTTCCGGACTCCACCAAAAACGTTGTTTAAGAAACTATCATCATTGAAAACTCAAAAGTTGTTATCTGTCGCGGCGGGGTGAAACCACAGAAACCGAACAGCCACTATCTCGTCGTGCAGGGGATACACATGCCTGATGAAAAATGAAGTTCAATGCTGACGTGAAACATTTGATGATTAAAGTGTACGCTTTTTTCCGTGCTGAAGCCGAAAGGGGCAAACCATTTTATGCCATTAATAAATTCCGTAAGCGGGCAGCAAAAACTTTAGGAGTATCAGCAAGGGTACTGACAAATGTTCTGGAACACAAACATTGTGAGGGTGATGCGAAGCAGGTAGGGGTCGTGTCAAAATCACACAAATTAAAACATTTGGACAACTTTCAAGAGAACCTTGTAAGGCAGTCTATCAACAAGTTCCATTCTGAAAACAAATACATGTCGCTGAAAATTTTAAAAAAGCATTTGAAGCAAGAACACAACCTCAGAGTATCAAAGTACACACTCTGGCGACTCTTACACTCTTTCGGGTATCGTCATAAGACAATTTCGGGGGAGAACAGGTCAGTACTCTGTGAACGCCCTGATATCGTTCGCTTGAGAAATAATTTTCTAAGGGTTATAAAGAAGAAGCGCGAGGAAGGGTTCGAGCCAGTATACTTGGACGAGACCTGGGTCAGTGCCTCGCACGCTGCCAGCAGTCAGTGGGTACCCGATGGGGGTGATAAGGGGTCACGTAAAAGGCTGCCTCTAGGGAAAGGAGAGAGACTAATCATTCGCCATGCTGGTTGCTCCAGCAAAGGCTTTCTCCAAGGCTGCGACTTGGTATTCAGGGCAAAGTCCACAGATAACAGAGACTACCATTCCGAGATGAATGGTGCGGTTTTCCTCGATTGGGTTAAAAACAAGTTGGTACCAGCTCTACCAGAGAAGTCTTTTATCGTAATGGACCATACCACAGGGTGCAGGACCCCGACAGTATAGCCCCGACATCGAACAGTCGAAAAGGTGATATCATATCATGGCTCGACAAATTTCAGATCGCACGGCCTTCACAGGCAACGAAGCCTCAGCTATATGAGATCATAAAAACCCACAAAGGTGAACCTTTCTACAAAGTTGACAGTTACATAAAAAGTAAGGGTCACGATATTCTGCGACTTCCACCCTATCACTGTGACCTTAACCCCATTGAAATGATATGGGGTATTGTCAAAGGAGATGTTGCCAGATCAAACACAACTTTTAGATTACGTGACGTAGAGGTTTTGGTTAAGGAATCCCTTAACAAAATCACGACTGAAACTTGTCAAAACTGTGTCAACAAGGTAGCTAACGTCATTGAACAAGGTTACTGGTCTCGGGATGGCTTACAACTGGCAACTGTGGCACCACTTGTCATCCCTTTAAGTCGTGACTATGACACTACGACGGACGAGGAACCGACAGGTCTCCCGGAATAGATTTTGAGATGTCCCCCCCATGACTGGCTGTTCCGTTTCTGCGGTTTCACCCCGCCGCAACAGATAACAACTTTTGCGTTTTCAATGATGATAGTTTCTTAAACAACTTGTTTGGTGGAGTCCGGAAAATGTTCAAATATAAGAAAGCTGTTGGGTATTAGTTAATGATAAACATGTGTACTATTTATATTTATGTGGCAATTTTGTACACTGATAAAATTTGCAATTCATCGGTCCGTTTCTGACTCAAACGGACTGTAGTTCGTTACTTTTACCAGAGACCATATGATAGATCTGGTCTCTGCTTTTACAAAAGGACACTATGGAGATGTGTCCACGAGCACTTGTCGCACAGTTGGACGTATTTCCGTCGGGGTGACTCTACAATGACACCAATACGAAACCTAGCGATCCGAATTAACTGTGCGACGCATTAATTATCAACCTCGGTTGAGCTATCATTTCACTCGTGAAGCCACCAGACCAAGACTTGTCTAACAGGTTTGAACAACTTTCTTCTGCCCTGTGCTGAGACAACTTTTATAGCATAAACCACTCAGTATTCATACAACCCTATGTGTGACACCCGAGACCTGACACCCGAGCTGTATAGCTATATTCGCTATTGTGAAATGTCAGGCAAGGGTACATGTCTCCTTTGTCCATGATGTTCGTCCTAGTATGCAGAATATTGGACACGAGTTCTTGAATAAAATATCCCGTCAGAAGAGCATTGTACGACACAGCTATGTACAATGTCAGACATTTCACTGCTATGTGATCAGTGAATTTCATGACACTCATTGAGGTATGGAGGCGAAATCTGTTGACCCCGTCTCGAACTTTGACCAACAAAACTAAATCAAGGATGCGTAAGTTTTCAGCCACACTGACGTGAATGCAGCCTAGTGGTTAAACCCTTCGCTCGTCAGGACGAAGACCCGGGTTCGATTCTCCACATGCGTACAATGTGTAAAGCCTATTTCTGGTAACCCCGCCGTGATGTTGCTGGAATATTGCTAAAAGCAGTTTAAAACTAAACTCACTCACTCACCTAGATACAAGTACCTGCATGTTGTACATACTATCATTGTTCCGGTGTCAATGGACCGCCTCCGTGGCGTAGTGGTTAGAGCGTCCGCCCGGAGAGCGAAAGGTCGCAGGTTCGATTCCCGATCTCCCCCCGCCGAGATATTGCTGGAATATTGCTTAAAGAGGCGTAAAACCAAACTCACTCACTCACAGATATGGTGAAACTACTTTTGTGGAGCGTCACACGGTGTAAGGCTACTAAGCCGGTTACTCAGGGGGGAGGATTCTCCCGATTCCCTGTTGTGCTATGATCAATGCGTTGATGTAATAATATCTCTTTAGATACCTTCAGTATCTGTCAAAGGCTCGTTTAGTAATTTGATAGCGGAAAAACGTTGTCACACAATGAATGGAAATGAAATATGGAAAGAACAACTGAAATGTCTGTCTTCAATAGGGGCATTCCTGATCCCATATCTGGTCTGCCTTGTGCTGGTGGGCCTGCCGCTGTTCTTCATGGAGATCGCCATTGGTCAGTTCTCTGGACGCGGGGCATTACATGTGTGGAGCATTTGCCCGTTGTTCAAAGGTAAGTTGATACATTAATTGGACATTCGCCCTGCATGTGTATATTGACTTGTTTACATTGTGCTTATACCATCATTGGAATCGTATAATGGACTCGCATGAAGTTTTCTCATACCTTTTGGACAGGGAAATGTATTATGCGGGAAAGATTTTGTAAATCTCATATGAATGTATCCGAGTATATCTGATGATAGCTAATGGCAGTTTGCCTTATATTTATAGTTTATGGCACTACAATTGTTATGTTGTAACCACCACCCCTTATTATGATCTTCAAAATACGAACATTATGATATTATTGCACTATATATGACATATTCTCACCATTAGGTTAATGGACTTAAGTTCACTTTTCTTTTGTCACATGCAATCATTGTTAGGAGAAAGTTTAACTATCTCCAGTACACATTCCGACGATGGCAAATTGATGTTCAGTACGCATGAAATGAATGGTAAAATTGCAGTGTACCTTCTCCAGTACGCATGAAATCAACAGCAAATTATATTTTATCTTCTCCAGTACTCATGAAATCAGTGGCACAATGATATTTTACCTTCTCCAGTACGTATGAAATCAATGGTAAAATGGTGTTACCATCTCCAGTACATACATTTTCTATGGAATCAATGGTAGAATGATATTTTACTTTCTCCAGTACGCATGGAATCAATGGTAAAATCATTGGTAAAATCAGGTTTTACCATCTCCATTGCTCAAGTAATCAATAGTACAATGATGCCTTGCCATCTCCAGGCCTGGGCTATGTGATGAGCATCGCTTCCTTCATTTGCGCCTTCTACTTCAACCTGATCATTGCCTGGGTCCTGTACTACCTGGTGATGTCCTTCTACCCTGTCCTGCCCTGGACCACCTGCTCCAACTGGTGGAACACAGCCGCATGTACTACCTGGGACTTACAAGATGTCTCCGTCAACATAACGACGGGCAATGCCAGCGTTGTGTACAACGTCAGCTACACGGATGCTGTGACAACGTATGGGAACGTCAGCACACACCCCAGCAACGACAGCAACGACAGCAACTCCAACGTCTCCAGTTCAGCAGCAGAGGAGTTCTGGATGTAAGTACAACTTATAATTACCCACTTACTGAAACCAGTGGAAATGTAATGGTAGGGCGTCATGTTAGAACAATATCGTGAATTTTGCTGCGACAACACTTTTCCCTTCGCTTTTGTGAAAGCATACCAAATTCTTAACACAACATATTTTTCAAAGCAGACTGCATATTAATTTCACTATCTGGTTGTGGGTACAACCTGAGAAAATGTATTAAAAATATGAAATTGTCCTCCAAAAGTGCTGTATGTGTTTACAAGAGTAGTGGAAATGGAAATGCTTATTATATTTAGCTTGCAGCATTAGGCGGATGCTGTTTTGTTTTATCACAACAGACGTCAAGGCTCTATTTTCTCTACATGGTTTAACATGCCCGTGATATTACCTCTTATTTTCAGATGCAGTGATCCTGAATATTATCAGTAAATTGTTTCAGGTACAACACATTGCGTGTTTCTGCTGGACTGCACGACATGGGAGGGATACAGTGGCATATGGCTCTCGCATTGTTCGCTGCATGGGTCCTTATATTTCTCTGTTTGATAAAAGGTGTCAAATCTGTCGGAAAGGTTAGACAAAGGTTCAGACGGAGGGGTTTGAGCAGAAGGTTCAAATGTTCAAACATATAAGTGCCGTGAACTACTTGCGGGCCCCATAGCTATAGGGCCCGCAAACAGGTCACGGTACTTCACGAGACCTTAGTATTTCCGGTGACAAACAACGTACACTTGGTCCGGTCTAGTAAAGCCATATTTGGCGGTCGCGCAATTTGGAACCAGAACTAGTTCTTGAATATACGCTTGTCACCGGAAATATGGTAGAGGAAGTATGCTGGGCCCCCACACTCCGGCACAGCGATGACTTAACATAACATCACTGCCACAGGCTAATTTGCATATCACGTGACCGGAGTTTTCTCTTGTTTGTAATCAAACGCGCATATTCATAATAAGAAGAGACTGGACTCACGAAAGCTTTTCAGCGCTCTCTTCATAATGTTTTACATTGTTACATTTATTTTCTTCCACAACTGCGACAGTAAGGTCTATGACAGTACACATTTCGATATCAAACTGGCTGCATCGTTTGCTCTCCATCAGCTTCGATGACAGCACGTGGAGCCGTACAACCTATGTAAACAAAGGATCGCTACGCAAAACGAAATAGTGTAACATGTTTTTTGGATATTTTCTCAGTGAAACTAAACCATTCTATTAAAGATGTTTAGTTAGATGTGTAGACTCGTCAAAAATAAAAGAGTAAAAGAAATCTGTACAATATATTGAATGGACATTGCAAGATGTGACGAATCGTCACATTTTTCTGGCCTGTGGCAGAGGTACTATGCTGGCTTGCCGCATGGAACTCTGGGTAGGAGAGTGCTGGGCCCCGTCTCGCATATGGCAAGGTGGCACGCGTAAAGGGAGCCGGGAACCGGGAACCGGGAGTAGTGCCTGAATGTCAGTGAACGCCCGCATGTGACTATTTGTGTCTATTTGTTGTCGCGTCCAGAAAACATGTCTATGTACACGGCGCTGTTGTAAAAAGGTGACATTTGACCTGACTGCATTAACCCTTCGAGTTATTACTCATGTATTGACTTTTGTCATTTACACCTTTATCGGCTACTCGATTTCTCAGGAATCACTTCAGATACAAGTGTTTAACCTATGGCAAGATACGCATGAGATTCTATCGAGGTATGTCGGTGTACAAAGACTGTCATACCTGACTGTGTATGGCATCCAGTGAACAATACCAGTACTGAATAATTTGTTCTAATGTCCCCTCCTGAACCTGGTCCCTACAATCGACTGAGTTTCGAGTGGAATCTGGAGACGAAGGCGTCATTATATCCAATGACGTATTGAATCTTCCACCTTCTTCAAGAGTGGCGGTGGGGTACCCTAATGGTTATATCATCCGCTCGTCAAGACCGATTCCCGACATGGGTACAATGTGTGAAGCGTGTCTCGTGTCTCCCCACGTGATATTGCTGGAATAATGCTTAACGCGGCGTAAAACCATCTACGGAAATGTTGGGTTTTAATCACGGGATGAATAACCACCATAGTTTTATTTGTACATAAGCTCCAATACGCTTTGTGAGGCTGATGCTGACAAGTAGCCGGGGTGATTACACGCCTTTTGGAACATTATTCCTGTTGTATGCCGGCGTATCGGCTAAATGTGAAGGAAAACCTGACTTGATGCAGGTATCACACATTACCTTATTCGTTAAACCCATGAGCACGGGTTCTAGCCGGAATACTTCATCAGGTTCTGGCGTACCCAAGGGACGCAACTCCGAAAACCTTCCACAATTAGGAAACCCGCGCCGCAAGCAGTGGAAATGACCTTAGTCTTTCACTTGTTTTTAAAAACAGCTGCTTTAGAATGGGTTTGGTTGTCGTTTTGGTGTAATAGGTCCAAATGTGGAACATGTATATAATCTTTCCCCTTATTTTCAAGTTGCATGTAATATTTGTATTTTTAAACAAAAACATCGTTCATCTGTACCCAAATACATCAGGTAGCCTTGGATGCTGTTAGCGGAGATGAAGATGTTAGACGATGGTAAAATATAACATGTATGATATGGGGTAATAGCGACGGTCAGGCAGGATTGGTAACACATTATTAGGTATTATACAGACGGTATACTAGGTCAACGGTATAATAATGGTATGCCTCGCTACACAGAGACACTAATATACTCATGCCAATAATGGTTGTCCCCCCCTTCAATTTTTTTGATTGGAGAGGGTTGTGGGTGGGGGTGTGAGGTGTGGGGGGAGGGGGTGACAACCATTATTGGCATGAGTATATGTTACAATATATTTGAGAGATGAAATCTGACAGAAGAAGAAAATCAATGAAATGTGTAAAAGAAGTAGAACAATCAAGTATGCGGACACCCGTCTCCATATATCCGCAGTATGTCTACAAGGGTGACGGTGGGGTAGCCCAGTGGTTAAAGCGTTCGCTCGTCACGCGGAAGACCCGGGTTCGATTCCTCACATGGGTACAATGTGTGAAGCCCATGTCTGGTGTCCCCCGCCGTGATATGGCTTGAATATTGCTGAAAGCGGCGGCGTAACACCATATTCACTCACATGGGGTTGTAGCTTGCATACTGGATGCTGCCTGGTAGTGCAGGTGTTATGATCACTGTGACTATTTCCAGGTGGTATACGTGACGGCTCCCCTGCCCTATATACTCCTTACACTGATCCTCATCCGGGCCGTGACGCTGCCGGGAGCTACGCAGGGCATCATCTACTACATCAAGCCAGACTTTAGTCGACTTGCTGACTTCCAGGTGTGCTTCTTCTTCTTCTTCTTCTTCTTCTTCTTCTTCTTCTTCTTCATCATCATCATGAACAACAACAACAACATCATCATCAACGACCGTCTATGTTGACATTAACTGATATTTGTTCGATATGTGTTCTTGCAGCGTGCTTAACAGGAAACAATAATGTGAAAATACATAGATAGATTTGATTTGATCATTGATTGGAGCAAAGGCTTTATGCACCCTTCTTCTGTGTGTGATCGTGTCATCTACCTTCCTCCAAATACGGACATTTAATGAAATAATCCAGTTATATTAATCCAGATTTAACATCTTTTCCAGGTGTGGTTGGAGGCGATGCTGCAGATGTTCTACTCTCTCGGCGTCACCTGGGGCGGCCTCCACACCATGGCCAGCTACAACAAGTTTTCCAACAACTGCTACAGGTATATTTATATTCATCCTTTACCCATTATGTTCCCTCATGCTTAATGTCGTTACTGCATGTTCTGTCTCCCTGGCTTTTTGCCCAACAAACACAATATTGAAACTGTCGCAACAGTATCCACCATGTTGAATGTGTCATGGTTTCCAGACGTTTTGTGGGAAGCTTTTATACCTTATAACGACTGCTTCATATGCAATATTTAGTTGGTAATCGTTGTATATTGAGTGTGAGAGTTTTACGCTGCTTTTCGCAATATTCCAGCAATATCACTGCGGCTGACACCAAAAATGAACTTGTGACCATGAGGGGAAAAGAACCCGGGTCTTCAGCGTGACGAGCCAACACTGTAACCATTAGGCTACCCCATCGCCCCTAATCGTTGTGTAACAATGAATTTAGCACGTCCTCCCAGGGACTGTACAAATATATAAATCTGGGAGTGGAATCAGAACATATTCATTGTGTGTCTGAAACCATCGTTACAACTTCTAGGGATGCTGTCATCATCACATTCCTCAGCGAGGGGACGAGTTTCTACGCAGGCTTCGCCATCTTCTCCGTTCTTGGATTCATGGCGGAGAAAAAAGGGGTGCACGTGTCAGAGGTTGTCAAAGCAGGTCAGAATATTCAGCATAGTGCACCATTAACTACACCTTCAAGGCAAGAAATTCAAATGGAGACTTTCGACATCATTTCCGTTATTCCATTGTACTCATGTGTGTTCTCCATGGTGGCTTGTGAGTGTATCTGTTTCTTCAGGTCCTGGTCTTGGCTTCGTGACTTACCCGGAAGCCCTTGCACAGCTACCGTTGCCACAGTTGTGGGCGGCGATCTTTTTCATCATGCTTGTCACCGTGGGAGTGGACTCCGAGGTAACCTGAATGGATGTGCTCCGTCTGTGTTCTCTTAGTCTACCAATTACGTAGATTGATTCTCATGCTGTTGATCACTGGATTGACTCAATATTTATAGACCGCCGTCAGATAGCTGGAATATTGCTCAGTGCAGCGTAAAACTAAACTCACTCAGACCCGCACTATTTTCCCTTCCACCTAGCTCTTTCTGCAATGCCAAAGCCTTAAACGAAGCAACTCAGGATTTCCTCAGTCTTATTTCTCACTTGGTCTCATTTCAATTTAAGACCGCCTCCGTGGTGTAGTGGTTAGAGTGTCCGCCCGGAGAGCGGAAGGTCGCGGGTTCGATCCCCGACCGCGTCATACCAAAAGACGTTAAAATATGGTACTTGTTGGTCCCTGCCTGGCGCTCGGCATTAATGGGTACAACAAGGACTGGTCGGCTCGGAGTCAGTATAATATGTCTGAGTGGGGTATTCATGCTTCACTGCGGCATGGTATGTCAGTGGGCTAGCACTATAAAACCAGCTTCAGTCTGGGCTAGTACAAGCAGCCACACATACACATACACACGCATGCACGTCGTCATATGAGCGAAATATTCTCAAGCACGACGTTAAACCCAATTTCACCTCACCTCATTTCAATTTAAAAAACTTTGTTTGCTTATATCAAAATTATATATCTATTCAGAGACTCAGCATTAGTCTAGTCCTCTCTTTCTTAGAACACCTGGTTGGCTTGGTTCTTGAATTATCCACGGTGCCGAATCTGCTCCATGTGTTGTGTGTTTATTTTTCAGTTCGCCACTTTTGAAACGGCAGTGACAGCATTAATAGACACATTCCCACACCAACTCAATAAAAGACGAAGCTTGGTGACTGGCACTGCCTGTGTCTTCTGTTTCATAGTTGGTCTCGTTCTTGCTACAAAGGTATTGAACTGTATTGCTACAGCTCTTTCTAATATCCCAGTTCCACCTTTACCTTCTTAGAAAACCTTCATTATAGTACAGAGTGTGTAGGACGGTAACCGTAATATTGTCATATCTGTATTTATGCAAGACTATCCTGAACGCACCAGGCGCAATAAAAAAAATGTCACTTAGTTCCGTCACCTTGGCTTGGCAAGAAACCTATCATCGTGGATTCGAGGTCAAGAATCCCCTTATTTGCTTAGCTCACAATTTTGCCAAATTAGCTCTGTATGTGTAATAGAAAAGAATATTACACACAAATACTTGTATACAACACAAATACTTGTATACAACGACTGATGGGTGTCACTAAAATCAGCTGAGACAATCTTAAATTTTCAAATAAAACTTTTTGACATTACACTCTTCCTTAATAATATTTTCGATGTATACTTATACAGGAATGTTTTTTTCTTGTTTATTTTTCGAGAGGGTGTACTGAGGAGTTAGGGGAGGGGGTATGTGTGTTGGGTTGTTACTTTTGTTGTTATTTTGTTTCTTTTTAAGATTGTACAAGTAACTCAACTGTTTCCATTCGTTTGCTATACATGTATTTTAAAGGGCGGCATCTATCTGTTCGTGTTGATCGACTGGTATGTGGCGACCTTCAGTCTCCTTCTTGTTGGGATCATGGAGTGTGTCATCATCGGATGGATATACGGTATGGAGTGAGTGAGTTTAGTTTTACGCCGCTTTTAGCAATATTCCGGCAATAACACGGCGGGGGACCCCAGAAATGGGCTTCACACATTAAACCCATGTGGGGAATGGAGCCCGGGTCTTCAGCGTGCCGTATACGGTATGGAAGTTTGACATATCAAATACACTTATGGATACACCTAAGTATACACCCATGTTTTATGTTGCCTAAAAGTGAACCTGACAAGAAATGGTTAGTCGATGGCGTGTTGTTGTATTTGTTGTATCTTTTTTTTCTCCACACGATTCCAGAATGTTTTCGGCCGAGTCTCGTCTTGATTGCATTTTTATTTTATTTTTGTTACATCCAATTTTCTAGTGTATACTATATTTTTTGCGGCAGTGTATTTGTCTTAATTATACAAGTTGTATAATAACGATGTAGATATTCTGCGATCACTTATCGTATTTTGATCCACAGCGCAGGGACCTATTCCCTCACTCACCCACTCCAATATTTTACTGTTCTGGTAATATCATATCAGGTGCGGACCGTTTTAGTAGCGACATCGAGATGATGCTTGGACGGAGACCCCCTGTGTACATGAAAACACTCTGGTGCTTTGTATCTCCATTTCTCATGACTGTAAGTTGATGAATTTATTTCTATTCATTATTTCATATCATCCATCCAACCAACCATCCATCCGATCATCCATCCATCCCATCCCATACCATCCGTCTATCCATCAATCTATCCTATCCCATCCATCCCTCTATACCATCCATCCATCTATCCCATCCATCCATCTATACCATCCATCCATCCATCCCATCCCATCCATCCGTCTATCCATCAATCTATCATATCCCATCCATCCCTCTATACCATCCGAATGCCACTCACTCAATGCCGAATAAAAAGTAAACCTTATCAATTGTGTTTCAGATAAGCCTTGTATTGACAGTCGTTCACTACGACGCTCCAACCTTTGGCGACTACGTGTACCCGACATATGGCCTCGCTATTGGGTTCTTCATCGGTCTGGTTTCAATAGTACCAGTACCAGTTTGTATGTTACAAGAATTACTAAAGGCAAAGGGAACATTTGTTGAGGTAGGGCATTAAATTGATAATTCCGCACAAGTAATCAGTTCCACTTAATTCTTCCTGCAGTAACCGCTACTTGACTTAAATACAATTTACAGTCAGCGTCTTGCGTTGTATCGTACAAAACATACAACGATGCGTACAGCCCTCATGGCATAATATGCCATCTTCCACTTGATGACTTATGACTCTCCTTAGCCGGTATAGCAAACAACCCTTCAATAGTCAAATAGATATAGTCATCCTACTGGAGCTCTATAGAAAGGTGACCGCCTCCGTGGTGTAGTGGTTAGAGCGTCCGCCCGGAGTGCGGAAGGTCGCGGGTTCGATCCCCGACCGCGTCATGCCAAAAGACTATGGTACTTGTTGGTCCCTGCCTGGCGCTCGGCATTAATGGGTACAACAAGGACTGGTCGTCTGAGTGGGGTATTCATGCTTCACTGCGGCATGGTATCTCAGTGGGCTAGCACTATAAAACCAGCTCCAGTCTGGGTTAGTACAAGCAGCCACACGTACACATACACACGCATGCATGTCATCATATGAGTGAAATATTCTCAAGCACGACGTTAAACCCAATTCCACCACCACCAGTATAGAAAGGTACTACGCTCCCACAATCAACATGTGAAACTCATACAAGGTTCAGGTGAGAAAAACGTAGGTATAAATGTCAGTTGTATATATTGCGACTTGTAATAACTGTTCTAAAACTAAGTAATGCCAGTATGGACACATATAGGTGTTCCTTTTGATGTTGCTTCCCACTGATCAACTTAACTGCTCAAATTCTTAATGGTAGGTGCAGGAATATAACACGCATTTTCGGCATGCATATACATGTATGTTGAATTGTGTTTATAGCCACTGCCAATCATTTAGGTTCCCGTAAATCCTACAGCATCTTCTTTTATTTGGCAGCGAGTACGCACCTGTCTGAGGCCTGACTCCACGTGGGGGCCGATCTCCAGGAGGCACCGTGCTGAGTACTCCAAGCCTGTGGAGGAATCGTCCTGGAGGAACTCCTTCAGGATATATAAATGGTAGCAGGAATACATACAGCTGATTACTAGAGGCCTGTTGAGGAATCGTCCTGGAGGAACTCCTTCAGGATATATAAATGGTAGTGGGAATATATACAGCTGAGTACTAGAGGCCTGTTGAGGAATCGTCCTGGAGGAACTCCTTCAGGATATATAAATGGTGGCGGGAATACATACTGCTGAGTACTAGAGGCCTGTTGAGGAATCGTCCTGGAGGAACTCCTTCAGGATATATAAATGGTAGCGGGAATACATACTGCTGAGTACTAGAGGCCTGTTGAGGAATCGTCCTGGAGGAACTCCTTCAGGATATATAAATGGTAGCGGGAATACATACTGCTGAGTACTAGAGGCCTGTTGAGGAATCGTCCTGGAGGAACTCCTTCAGGATATATAAATGGTAGCGGGAATACATACTGCTGAGTACTAGAGGCCTGTTGAGGAATCGTCCTGGAGGAACTCCTTCAGGATATGTAAATGGTTTTGGGAATATATACAGCTGAGTACTAGAGGCATGTTGAGGAATCGTCTTGGAGGAACTCCTTCAGGATATATAAATGGTGGCGGGAATACATACAGCTGAGTACTAGAGGCATGTTGAGGAATCGTCCTGGAGGAACTCCTTCAGGATATATAAATGGTGGCGGGAATACATACAGCTGAGTACTAGAGGCCTGTTGAGGAATCGTCCTGGAGGAACTCCTTCAGGATACATAAATGGTTGTGGGAATACATACTGCTGAGTACTAGAGGCCTGTTGAGGAATCGTACTGGAGGAGCTCCTTCAGGATACATAAATGGTTGTGGGAATACATACTGCTGAGTACACCAAGCCGGTGGAAGAATCGTCCTGGAGGAACGTTAACTCCTTCGGGATATATGAATTATAGCGTAAATATATAATGCTGAGAACACCAATCCTGTGAAGGAGTCGAGATGGAGGACGTCCTTCAGCATACGTCAATGGTAGCAAGAGACACATAGTGCTGAGTTCACCAATCCTGAAAAGAAATAGCCCTGGGAAGCTCGTGAAGGAGCCAGGCTGGAGACTCCTTAAGGACATATGAATGGTAGTGGGAGCGCATAACACTGAGATCACCAAGCCTGTAGAGGAGTCGGGTTTTATGAACACATTAAGGACATATCAATGATGGGGGGAAGATGTAATGCCAAGCAAGTACGCCAAGCATGTGAAGCAAAGCAGGAGGAACTCCTTCAGGATATTTCAGTGTTACCGGATGACACACATCCTTACATATTAACACCAAAGACATTGCATATTTGTAATTCATCACATCATTATCAAACTCTCTATCTTCAACTGCTTTCTACGTTTCGATTCCGCTGTATCATGAATGTATCGTGCTATGTGGTTATTTACACGAGACTAGTGAAAGTTGCATGAGCTGTGTTGTTATGCTGTGTGAGCGGTTCCACTTCCCCATGTTCGAGAACCGCCTCCGTGGTGTAGTGGTTAGAGCGTCCGCCCGGAGAGCGGAAGGTCGCGGGTTCGATCCCCGACCGCGACAAAACCAAAAGACGTTAAAATATGGTACTTGTTGGTCCCTGCCTGTCGCTCGGCATTAATGGGTACAACAAGGACTGGTCGGCTTGGAGTCAGTATAATGTGTCTGTGTGGGGTATTCATGCTTCACTGCAGCATGGTATCTCAGTGGGCTAGCACTATAAAACCAGCTTCAGTCTGGGCTAGTACAAGCAGCAGCACATACACATACACACGCATGCACGTCGTCATATGAGCGAAATATTCTCAAGCACGACGTTAAACCCAATTTCACCTCTCCTCACCATGTTCGAGATTAACATTTTGATTTATACGTTTGGCAATAAGACAATTTGGTTGTGATTTCAAGACACAAAAGACGAAAACGACAACTTCAGTACATAAAACCATTGCTTTTATAAAATGGCACGAGTTCGCGCGTGCTCACGGATTACCGACTCATTAGTTATACAGCAATTTTGATAATAGGTGCCCGTTAAGACGAGACAACCCAAAAGAAGCCGACACACAGACCCCGACATACAAATGACATGACACTGATTGTTTGTCAAGTACTTGAACTCACTGTCAAAGCATACTAACTTTAAATGCTTTTAATGGTAAACATTACTCACAACCTCTATTCATAGTACAATTCCTTGATATTGTAGTTATTGAGAAATCCGTAATGTATGTGCCGGATTGACAATTGTTTGAATTACATTATACTAAACTTCCTAAATACTTATACTCTTTCACATTCTAAAGCAAACATAATTACGATTTTCCCCTCAAATTTCACTTTTTGACGTTTAAGATTTTTCATTACTACAGTGAAAATTGTTACTCATCGTAGAATATCATCCATCTATTTAGATTTTCAAAATTCCCCATCATATGAAATGCCAGGATGCTCAACTTCATGCCAAATACTTGCAAATTTTAAGTTACTCAGTTCAAAACAGTGCACAGGAAACCAACATGAAACTACATGTTCTGGTTTCATGTTGGTTTCCATTTAATGAAACTTCAATTGCCAATTCCAGGAATGGAAACCAACAAGAAACCTCTAACCTTAGTTTCTTGTTGGTTTCCATTTACAGAAATGCAAAAATCAAAGAATCCAAAATGGAATCAAGTTGGAAACTCAGTTACTCAGTTTCAGTGAATGGAAACCAACTGGATTCCAAAATTACCCAGTATACGGATGGTTTCCAGGTTTCAGGAAACCAAGTCATTTTTTGTAGTGACAGTGCAACTCCTCCTATACATGATATTACCCGTCAAGTAGAGGTAATGGTATTATGATAGGTTTTGCTGGCGTCACTCAAACTATAGTCTGTTTGCAGTGAAAACGTACCGATGAATTTCACCTTAAACAAAAAGGTATATAAGATTATGTGATTAAGGGGGTAAGCACAGTAGATGGAACAGTAAAACAAATGCACGTGCTGTACGTGATGAGCGTTAACTTAGACCAACCCTACTTGTTCTCGTTGTTTCATCTAATGTGCATACCCCCTTGTAATACAAAGCAATAATAGCGATTTGAAACTATGATCGTTTGTTAAACAACTTTTATCCAAAGTTGAATAAAATTCTGAGATTTGAATGTTCGATTGGCAAGGTAAAATTATGAGGATTCGCAATCTTAATTTCGCTTCAATCGATTTACTTTTTTATTAAGAGTGAAATTCATCGGTACGTTTTCACTGCAAACAGACTATAAACTGTATTGTTTTAGGCATAGGTTATGCGATGAGTATCACTTCATTTATGTGTGCATTCTACTTCAACCTGATCATTGCGTGGTCAATGTACTACCTGGTGATGTCCTTCTACCCTGTCCTGCCCTGGACCACCTGCTCCAACTGGTGGAACACACCCGCATGTACTACCTGGAGATGTCCTTCTACCCTGTCCTGCCCTGGACCACCTGCTCCAACTGGTGGAACACACCCGCATGCACTACCTGGTGATGTCCTGCTACCCTGTTCCAAAGAATGGTGTGGTCTGGGTGAGCTTGGGTGTGGTCAGATATGGTGGATTTGGAGTCTGTGTTCTTCACAGAGGTTTGATGTTCTTTGATTCTTACAGGAAGGGGTCTTGAGGTTTCACCGATGTATGCGTCACCGCAGTCACATGTTATGTGGTAAACTGTACAGCTCCGTTCACCATTAGCCTGCCCTACATGCACTACCCCACAGGCACAACCTGCCACCGGACAACCGACTCCTCAAACACCAATACTGACGTAGTGTTCTAAAGAGGCAAAACTATACATTCTCCAAGTCTAACTAAAATGAAATTAAAAATGGACAGTGATCGGCTAAGGCATAAGGTAATTAATCATTACATGTTTATTCAATTGCTTCAAAACTGTTTTTTGGCTAGGTATTGTATTTTACAAATTTATCTTGCGAAAAAATAGCATCGTACATACTAGGGTTAATACAGTCTGATCATAATTCTATGAACTTTCGTACTCATATAAACTCGTGCAAATTTGTATATCAATTCCTTAAAAATAACTGGCTTGTTTGTTAGGTTACATATCCGTGTCTGATCTGTACTTGTTGGCCATGCTTAAGTGGCTGTAAATGAAGATGTTTTAATTACTGTAGGAGTGAGTGAGTTAATATTTAGCGTCACATCGGCAATATCGCAGCCATATCGTGACGAGAACATATTTGACATTGAAATGAAATATATGTATATGATAAAAACCTGTCTACGAAGGACAGTAAAACAACCAGAATATCACAATTACAACTAAAACTAGTGTGGAAAGTTAAAACTAATAGCACTATTTGGACAATACAATATAAAAACTGGCTATAGATCGCCAACAACTGAATGTGGATCACCAAATTAGGGACCATGGGGACTTACAGTACCTGTGCTACCTGCATGGACCCTAAATTACTGTAAGATGTCAGTTAATGTACGTGATAATATCAGCTTGAATATGAATTAATATAATTGTCATCTGTCACGGTATGATCTGAATTACAAATAACCATTAATTCTTACACCTTCAACCAAATTAGATATAACTAATGCATTAATGTTGCACGTATGGCCTTTTGACTACAATTATATGTGATAAATGCTTTGTGAGTCGAGGTATACAAATTGTGTGTCAATATTGGGACAAGAAAATGAATGGGGTCATAGGCGGACCTCCATAACTAATATCTCATACTGCTATTGACAATGTGTTTGCAGCTACTATTTAGTGGGGTGTTGTTAATAAATTGTTAATTGATGTGTGCAAGGTGAAATATGTCCAGACCAAAACATAATGTACATTGGCGCTTTACTATGTACTATTTATAACTCTTTTAGCTGCACATTTCTAATTATACATTGCACGTATTAAATAGTGTTTATTTTGAAACTTCTTTGGAATATCAGTGTACATTTTCAAGACATTACATTAACTTGATTTTTTTTTCAAATAATGTTTTCCTTAAATTTTAACCTGTGTAACATCAGAATTGAGAACGATTATATAATTTACTTACACATCTGAATCTTTTGTTGTTCTTTGCGGACAAAGGCCTCTGCTTTCCCACTTCTTTATCTTCCAGGTGAACGAACCCTCTTGTTCGTCCAAAACCGCCAAACTGCTTCTGAAAGGGGATGTGTATAAGTGGAAAATATTTAGTGGTTTTGAAATTTTTATGTATTTTTCTGATTCATAGGATTTACATTAATTGGGTAATTTTATGTACATCATTTACTGAAGGGGTTGGATTACACATACCTGTTGCGGGTCAAGATCAGTTAGTCATCTTCAGTTTTTCCAACACTGCCCCAATGGAATGTAGAAATTAAGGGAAAAATCGGGAACTTTCTAAGTGATATTGTACTCTTGATAACAATAAGGCATGAAAATAGAAGAATAAATATCAATTTGCAAGGTGTAGATATGCTAAAGTTCATATAATTTTAGGTTGACAATGTACATCAATGTATCCAGTTGTGGCACTAGTCATCATAGGTTATATATCGAAACAAAGTCTAAACCATTAAAAGAAAGGAGGCGCGACATTAAACTAATACATTTTTACAAGATGAATAACGATCTTGCACCTGACTACCTCTGTGACCTTGTCCCTAACTTTGTCTCCGAAAACAGTCAATATAATCTCCGTAATAAATTTAAGTTACAAACAATAAATTGTAGGACTAAAATATATGAAAAGTCGTTCCTACCTGACACAATTAAAATTTGGAATTCATTACCTGATAATTTAGTATTCGCTAACCCAATAGGTGAATTCAAATCTCTGCTTAAAAATGATGAATCAAATAATTATCTAGATCTAAATTATGGCAGTCGATTCTGTCAGATCGTACACTGTCGACTTAAGCTCGGCTGTAGTGATTTGAATGCGGATAAAGTAAATAGACACATTTCTAACAACCCTGGATGCGCTTGTGGATACCACAATGAAGATACTGTTCATTATCTTTTTACATGTAAGTTATACACTGCTATTAGAAATAATACCTACTTCTATGTAAATGGACACAATCTCCAAACTGTGTTATACGGAATACCTCCGGCAAACAACAACGTCAATAAGAACATAATAGAGTCCCTGCATCAATACATCTATAAGTCTAAACGATTTGACAAATTATACTAACAATTATATGCAATCAATTAATGAAGTGTAGCTGCAAGCTCAATGTTTATAAGCACCTACAACGCACATATATGATTTAATTTGTCGGTTTTTGTATCCAGTTTGGGTTAAATATCCAGGGGCCGGTTCGGCTTGGGCCGGTTCGGGTGTATCCCACTTAAATTACCTCATTCATCAGTAATCTATCCTATACTGACTTGAAAACCTTTTAAAAAACAGTTTCCAAGAATATTGTGTTGACAATTTATCCACTCAACAGCATTATAGTATCATGATAAATATCGTTTTAGAGTTGGCTGAAAAATATTGTCTTAGAGCTGGCTGAAAAATATTGTCGATTGTTTTTGGTCATAGGCTGTCTTGTAACTCTAATAACTAGACAATGAATTTTGAAACTTCACTCTAACCATGCACCAAATCTGGTCAGAGAATTCCTATAATTGCAAAATGACTCACTATCCCCCACTGTATTGTTTTCAGTGGTACAAATATCAAAAGCAATTTTCAATAACAAACTTTAAAATAGAACTTCCAATCATTAGATTTCTTGCAATAATATTCGAATACTTCTAAATACGTTTGGAAGTTATCTTGAGTCGTGTCATTGCTGGATTTATTTGTGGTTCATATTGTTCTTGCAAAGATAATATTTCATACATTACGATAATGAACCATTTAGTCGTATGTGACCTGATCCAAATCACAATCGAGTTCTTGAGTTAACTAAGTAAAAGAAGCCATATCTCTTGCCAACATTTCGACACGCAATTGCTTATCGAGTTCCATCAAGTCTAAACTTTTAATTTCATATTTATTGTCCTAGCTACTTATGTACATTAAACGTTACACATAACATGAGCTATTGCTTAATTCAAGAAATTTACACTGTACCTGACATGGTCGTGGAATGTTCCCTTTCTCCCTCCGCGATCGACGACTGCTCCTGTCTTCAAGTTTTCACGTACCCGAGCCTCCAAAGCGTCTAGTGTAACTCACACTGCCTTTTCTTGATGCAGATAACATGGGCAAGCGAGGGAATAATTCAGTGTGCTGGGTTCCTTGTGTTAATAACGGGAGACACTTTGGCCCACTTTCAAAACAACTTCTCATGAGATCAAGTGACAAAATGGCGGCAATTGTGTGTAGGGGCATTGTGGGTAATAACAAATACCTAATCCCTTTTCGATTGGCAGGTATGAAAGCATTATCTGACCCAATTTGGTTGTGATTTCAAGACACAAAAGACGAAAACGACAACTTCAGTACATAAAACCATTGCTTTTATAAAATGGCACGAGTTAGCGCGTGCCCACGGATTACCGACTCATTAGTTATACAGCAATTTCATTTTGATAATAGGTGTCCGTTAAGACGAAACAACCCCAAAGAAGCCGACACACAGACCCCGACATAGAAATGACATGACACTGATTGTTTGTCAAGTACTTGAACTCACTGTCAAAGCATACTAACTTTAAATGCTTTTAATGGTAAACATTACTCACAACCTCTATTCATAGTACAATTCCTTGATATTGCAGTTATTGAGAAATCCGTAATGTATGTGCCGGATTGACAATTATTTGAATTACATTATACTAAACTTCCTAAATGCTTATACTCTTTCACATTCTAAAGAAAACATAATTCAACCGATTTTCCCCTCAAATTTCACTTTTTGACGTTTAAGATTTTTTATTACTACAGTGAATATTGTTACTCATCGTAGAATATCATCCATCTATTTAGATTTTCAAAATCCCCCATCATATGAAATGCCAGGATGCTCAACTTCATGCCAAATACTTGCAAATTTTAAGTTACTCAGTTCAAAACAGTGCACAGGAAACCAACATGAAACTACATGTTCTGGTTTCATGTTGGTTTCCATTTAATGAAACTTCAATGCTAATTCCAGGAATGGAAACCAACAAGAAACCTCTAACCTTAGTTTCTTGTTGGTTTCCATTTACAGAAATGCAAAAATCAAAGAATCCAAAATGGAATCTAGTTGGAAACTCAGTTACTCAGTTTCAGTGAATGGGAACCAACTGGATTCCAAAATTACCCAGTATACGGATGGTTTCCAGGTTTCAGGAAACCAAGTCATTTTTGTAGTGACAGTGCAACTCCTCCTATACGTGATATTACCCGTCAAGTAGAGGTAATGGTATTATGATAGGTTTTGCTGGCGTCACTCAAACTATAGTCTGTTTGCAGTGAAAACGTACCGATGAATTTCACCTTAAACAAAAAGGTATATAAGATTATGTGATTAAGGGGGTAAGCACAGTAGATGGAACAGTAAAACAAATGCACGTGCTGTACGTGATGAGCGTTAACTTAGACCAACCCTACTTGTTCTCGTTGTTTCATCTAATGTGCATACCCCCTTGTAATACAAAGCAATAATAGCGATTTGAAACTATGATCGTTTGTTAAACAACTTTTATCCAAAGTTGAATAAAATTCTGAGATTTGAATGTTCGATTGGCAAGGTAAACTTATGAGGATTCGCAATCTTAATTTCGCTTTAATCGATTTACTTTTTTATTTAGAGTGAAATTCATCGGTACGTTTTCACTACAAACAGACTATAAACTGTATTGTTTCAGGCATGGGTTATGCGATGAGTATCACTTCATTTATGTGTGCATTCTACTTCAACCTGATCATTGCGTGGTCAATGTACTACCTGGTGATGTCCTTCTACCCTGTCCTGCCCTGGACCACCTGCTCCAACTGGTGGAACACACCCGCATGTACTACCTGGTGATGTCCTTCTACCCTGTCCTGCCCTGGACCACCTGCTCCAACTGGTGGAACACACCCGCGTGTACTACCTGGTGATGTCCTTCTACCCTGTCCGCACTCACAGTGTCTGTTGAATGTGTCTGTTATAAATTATATGATTACATTTGATTGGAGGATCTTCGGACCTGCATCTGCATCAATCCGTTCGTTCGTTCGTTCGTTCGTTCGTTCGTTCGTTCGTTCGTTCGTTCGTTCGTTCGTTCGTTCGTTCGTTCGTTCGTTCGTTCGTTCGTTCGTTCGTTCGTTCGTTCGTGCGTTCCTTCGTGCGTTCCTTCGTTCGTGCGTTCCTTCGTTCCTTCGTTCCTTCGTTCCTTATATGTGAGCATGTCTTAGTCTGGGCTAGTTCAGAGATTTGTCAGTGTGGCGGGCATCATGTTTCAGGTACAACACATTGCGTGTTTCTGCTGGACTGCACGACATGGGAGGGATACAGTGGCATATGGCTCTCGCATTGTTCGCTGCATGGGTCCTTATATTTCTCTGTCTGATAAAAGGTGTCAAATCTGTCGGAAAGGTGAGAAGAAATATGTTCAAGCAAAGGGATGAGTTCAAGATTTTTATATATAACGAAAGCAATGTAAATGTGAGACGTATCCGCAACATCACCACAATGCATTCTAAGTTGATAATACTTACGTCTACGTAGATAAAACTTGAATCTACGTAGATGGAACTAAGCTTGCTTCTGTGTATATGGAACTTGAGTCTACCTATATGCAACTTGAGTCTACCTATATGGAACCTACGTCTACGTAGATGGAACTTACGTCTACGTAGATGGAACTTGCGTCTACGTAGATGGAACTTACGTCTACGTAGATGGAACTTGCGTCTACGTAGATGGAGCTTGCGTCTACGTCTACGTAGATGGAACTTACGTCTACGTAGAAGATAGTTTTATCTGGTTAGATGAAACTTACATTTACCTATATGACTGAGTATCATCCACTCTCGAATTATGGACTTCGATTTTTTCAGAATCTGTTTTATTCAAATCAATATTATCTACGTAGACGATACACTCCACCCGTGGGGAAGTAACCGCTGGTCTTGATATCAGTACTATACGATAAACATAGGCCGGCGATATTTTCGGAATCGCCCTTGAAGATGAGTCGAGATTTTGCATGATCATGAAAATGATATTATTTCACTTTTTAGTTACATACATGACTTTTTGTACATTCTCTTCATTTCATAGCGTATAGTAATGCAGATATGCCACAAACAGAGTGAGTGAAAGCGTTTAGTTTTATGCCGCTTTTAGCAACATTCCAGCTATATCACGGCGGGGGACACCAGTAATGGGCTTTACACATTGTACTCATGTGAGGAAACGAACTGAGTCTTCGGCGTGATGAGCGAACGCCTTTACCACTAGGCTACCCCGCCGCCCCTCACAAACACTGATGCCCATGTTCCAGGTGGTGTATGTGACGGCTCCCCTGCCCTACATCTTCCTCACAGTCATCCTCATCCGCGCCGTGATGCTGCCTGGGGCGGTACAAGGGATCGTCTACTACGTCAAGCCAGACTTCAGTCGACTGGCTGACTTCCAGGTGTGCTTCCTCAAAGGTTTTCTAGGGCCATGTTTCCTGTTGTGCCAATATTTCAGTTTCTTATGCTCGCTGTATAACATTGGTTGAAACCCGTGAAGATCCGGGCTAGATTTGGTCTTCAGCAACCTATTTTGTTGTTGTAAGAGGCGACTAACCGGATCGGGTAGTGTAGCTCGCTGACTGGATCGTATCCCAATTGCGTAGATCGATACTCATAATGTCGATTACTTGATGATCTGGTCCAGACTTGATTATTTACAGACCGCTGCCATTTAGTTGGAAAACTGCTGAGTACGGCATAAAACTAAACTCACTCACTATCTCATTATATGCATACATTCATCCTTCAAAAAGGCTATGTGGATGAACATGGGTTGATGCCGTTCTTGCTATTGCAAACAAATGGAAGTATACCTGTGATAATTTGTTGAGCCATAAAACTGAATGAGGCTCTCATAAAACATCGAGCAGTCTCGTCGCTAACGGGAAAACTACAGCGACAGCTGGTTGAGCGAGGATGATTTGAACCTCCTGCAATATACACCGTCATCGTGTCTCTTTGCCGAGTACGCACGGGATACATATCTGAAAGAAACCGAGCTGTTTACGTGATGCCAACACTGTGTCCTTGATTCAGGACCGGCTCACGTGCCTCGCGAAAGACACTGGACATAGAGCACTGCCGCCGCCTATTTGACCTACAGGAGTGTCATTTTCAACTGTAAACCTAATACTGAAGGTTTGTTAGACATTCACCAATCTTGTGTTGTTGCTGATTTCGCACTCTTCTGTACGGACCAACGTCTGGACGAACCTTTGCGTGTCTACTCAGGATCAACTAGTAACGTCTTTGAACCAATAAGCGTTTCTTTGTCGTTTAACGCCGCACTCAGCAATATTCCAGCTATATGGCGGCGGTCTGTAAAAAAGACAATCCAGTGATCAACAGCATGAGCATCGATCTACGCAATTGGGATACGATGGCATGTGTCAACCAAGTCTTCGAGTCTGATCACCCCATCCGCCTCTTACGACAAGCATGGGTTTCTGGAGATCAATTCTAACCCGGATCTTCACGGGTCATATAAGGAGATAAGATGTTCTCCACGAAATGCCAAATATTAACTTACCAGAATTTGTTTGCTGTCGCGACACTGAAGATTACACTGATTTCCAGGTGTGGTTGGAAGCGATGCTGCAGATTTTTTACTCTCTCGGCGTCACCTGGGGCGGCCTTCACACCATGGCAAGCTAAAAATTTACAACAGGTTTTCCAACAACTGCTATAGGTACTTCGCGTTAAAATTCCTAAGGCACCTCATCATTGTATCTGTTGTTCATTAGTACTTTGAGTTGAGTGAGTGAGAGAGTTATTATTTAACGTCACATCGGCAATATTTCAGCCATATCGTGACTAGAACATATGTGACATTGAAATGGAATAGATGTATACTATAAAAACCTGTCGACGAAGGACAGTAAAACAACTACAATATCACAATTACAACTAAAACTAGTGTGGAAAGTTAAAAAAATAGCACTATTTGGATAATACAATTTGAAACTGGCTATAGATCGCCAACAACTGAAGGTAGATCACCAAACTAGGGACCATGGGGACTTACAGTACTTTTGCTACCTGCATGGACCCTAGTTGGATTTATATCACCCCTTCAGCCGTTGGCGATTGAAGTCAAATTTAGCCAAAATTAAAATGGCAAGAATTCTACATTTAAAACAGCTGGTTATATTTAACTTCCCTTTGGATGTTTCGGGACTTACGTACCCTCTCAGGGGAGGACAATAATTTTACGCAGTTTGAGTTGAACACGACCTGGAGTTGTATGACCAAAGTAATAATTACCAAGTACCAAATATGTTTTAATTTTCAAACTGTTGTTGCGAGGTAATGCATGATGTGAAATTGGACATCCCGTCTGCGGCCCGGGTTCAGTAAACCACACATGCTTAATATATGTACAATGATCGCTTCATTGTTTGGATCAAATGTAACTTTCTGACAGTGTGCTAGTTACCCACTGTTCGAGGTCATAAAGAGTGTAGCAGTATCCACTAGTGTTCCCTAGCGCTCTGATTGCAGAGATTCTGTCATCATCACATTCTTAAGCGAGGGCACCAGTTTCTACGCAGGATTTCCTTTTTTCTCTGTGATGGGCTTCATGGCAAAACATAAAGGAGTTCCCATATCAGAGGTCATTGAAGTAGGTAAGTACGTGTTGTCAGAGTGAGTGAGTTTGGTTTTACGCCGCTTTTAGCAAAACAGTTCTCAATATCATGTCGGGGGACACCAGAAATGGCCGTCACACATTGTACACAGGTGGGGAACCGATCCCGGGCCTTTGGCGTGACGAGCGAACGCTTGAACCACTAGGCTACCCCACAGCCCCACGTGTTGTCAGAGGCTGAAAGAAAGCATTTTGGCACGAGAACTTGATGAGGATAAAGACAAAGAATTTAGACAAAGCATCATGCAACGAAAGCCATAACGAGGAGTTAAGGCAGAGCAGAGTACATTGGGGATGAGAGATAATGGACAGGGGTTTGGCATCTGGATAGGTACTAGTGGAGCAGGATCAGTTTGCAGGAACTCTGGATATGACATGACAATGTCCTGGATTTATGACTTGTTTAGCTGCAGTCACTGTTATGGGATAATACTAGAACACTAGAATCTAAACCACCTTATAAAAGGATCAGAGTTCAAATAGCAACACTCACATGGACCTGAACACATGGCATGTTTTATGGATATTAACAACTTCTTTTTTATTCTTTATCACGACGTTTTTGAGCTAATTCTTGCTCCAGCATCAGGTGATTGGTGGGTCAGTGCACATTATTTTTACATTACATTAGTATAATATATATGGAGATTGCACACTATTCCTTTGCCTCAACCACATACCAGAACTAAATATATTGCTCTGTTTCTGAAGGTCCGGGCCTAGGATTCATCACCTACCGAGAAGCCCTTGCACAGCTTCCGATACCACAGTTGTGGGCAGTTACCTTCTTTCTCATGCTGCTTACTGTGGGTGTGGACTCATAGGTCAGTAAGACCTAATGCGCTGTTATTAGAATTTCGTGCAGTTGCCATTCTTTTTTCATCATGAAAGTCAGTATTAGCTATAGAAATACAAGAGGATGTCAAGTTCAGTTTCAGGAAGGTGTTAAATGTAACTTGGGTATAAGAATACATTATCACCTGTCAGACTGAAGTAGTGTAACCACTGTGTTATATGACAACATCGTCATTTTGAAAAAGATGTGTTATGTCGCGATTTGTTCTTGTTCTGTTGACCGCCTCAGTGGTGTAGTGGTTAGAGAGCGTCCGCCGGGAGTGCGGAATGTTCGATCCCCGGCCACGTCATACCAAAAGACGTTAAATATGGGACTTGTTAGTCCCTGCCTGGCGCTCGGCGTTACTGTGTACAACAAGGACTGGTCGGCTCGGAGTCAATATAATGTGTCTGAGTGGGGTATTCATGCTTAACTGCGGCATGGTATCTCAGTGGTAGCCCTATAAAACCAGCTTAAGTCTGGGCTAGTACAAGCAGCCACACATACACACGCATGCACGTCGTCATAAGAGCGAAATATTCTTAAGTACGACGTTAAACCCCATTTTACCTCACCTCTTGTTCTGTCAACCCGAATAAACAGTTAATACTGTTAGTGCAGGAAAACAATCATGTCATGGCGGTGCTTCAAGACAACTGTGTATTCTGGCAGGGCGATACATCAACACAGAGATGTGCTGTATCGTTGTCTTTCTTCGACCACGGCAGGGGGATATATACACAAAGAACTTAGTTAAGCTCCCCTGACATATCTCACGATTGAATGTGCCCTGATCTTAATCCTTTGGAGTATATCTGGGACATGATTGGTCGTGGTTTACAACAAAGGTATCCTCCTGTACAGAACCTGGCCAAATTGGAAGCTGCATTACACGAGGAATGGTGTGGACTGCCCCTTCAGAGGATCAGGAGGCTGACAGGGGGTATGAGGAGTCATGTGGAGGCTAGACTCGGTATTGACCTTGAATCGTTTAAGACACGCAAAATGACATTTCAATGTTCACATTCACCAATAAATTCAAATTAAAACATTCCAGGGCCTTACTTGTAAAGACATGGTTTTGTGTGAAAATCAGAGCAATTATCATCATAAAATCAACATGGATACCAATCATTTTGTCGTTTTCTATGAGTCAAATTATCATGCGGTTCAGAAAACTCATGTTTTTCCATCGTGGTCACCACGAGAGGTTTTATGTACGTGTTGAAAATCTCATTGCAAAAATACAGGGGATGGTTAATTATTTATGTATACTATCATGTGTTTTTGTTTGCAGTTTGCTACGATGGAAACAACCATCACAGCAATTGTCGATGCATTCCCGAAACAGCTAACTCGTAGACGTGGTTTAGTGACAGCGGGTGTCTGCACGATCTGTTTCATTGGTGGCCTTGACTTTACTACACGGGTAACGAGTGCATTATCACGCCATACATGTGATGTTCTCCACCTACAACTGTATGTTTAGGTTGGTAGTATACGATATCAAAATAATTTCAAAACGAAAAAAAATGTTACTCTGTTCATGAAACCTTACGAAGAAGTTAACGTTGCATACAGTGGAAGCCCTCCAAACCGGCATTCGTGGGGACCGGCAAAAATACCGGTATAGATCTTTTTCAGTAGGCCGAGGAATGGCATCAAAACCTTTCATCAGCTGAATGTTCTGCCGGATTGGAGGGATGCCGATTTTGAGAGCTTCCACTGTATATGACGTCAACAGGAAAAGTGTGACCTCATTCTACTTTTCCGGAGAACTACCATCCTGTTTCTCGTCAACAATAATATACTGAACCGAAAAAAGAGAATTCACCTTTAAAAACCAAATGCAAAAAATTGTTTTATAAGGTGGTGTTTATTTTATGATTGTACCGTTTTGTTAACTTGTTTTTCAATTTGACAGTTATTACCAACATCAGTGTTTTTTCTGGTGAAAAAGGTTCCGTATGACATTCGTGAAAATGCAAATGCACGTGCATACCGTGACAACCCTACCAATAAAAGTGAGTCCCAAAACTTGCCTGAAATCATTCTTGTTTTCGCACAATCGCCATGGTACGACTTACGAGAGATCAGAGGAACCAAGCCTTGGGACAATTGCAATTTCGGCCACACTGCACGGACTATAGACAATCATTTTAACGTTCATGTTAGGACAAGCTATCGACTGCAGGAGCAGTATCAGGCCACTAACAGCATCCAAGAACGACCTTCAGTAATATCACAACGTCCAGACGGACAGATTGTGTCCAACCATCTGCAGGATCGCTTCAGCAGAGCCACGGAAACAACACGCCAGACTCATTATTGTCGATGCAGTGCGTCGACGTTTGCGCGGAAGAAACCTCTTCTGTCACAGATCTTAACGTGCTCCAGTCCTGACTGCTCGTCACCTGCAAAACCGACTGCAATGGCCAACTCAGTAGCAAAGTTGGCGTTATCGACAGTGGAAAACTGTGCTTGTTTCAGATGAAAGCCGATATGGTGTTTCGACAGTCGATGGCGAAGAGTTAGAGTATGCGAAGGCGTGGGAAACGGTTTTCCAATGAATGCATTGTTGAAAGAGACTCGTGGGGTGGTCCAAGCTTCATGATGTGGGGTGCAATCGGTCTGAACCAGAGAGTTGGCCACGTGGTGTTCAAGGATGAGGAAATGGCGTGACAGCTGCTCGCTATATTGACCATGCCATAAGACCCCACGTTGTACCACATTTTGGACGTCACAGAAATCACATCTTCCAGCAAGACAACGCTCGTGCCCACACTGCCCGAGCAATATTGGACTACCCAAAATAACATGGCATCAAAACCCTACAATGGTCTGCACTCAGTACGGGTTTAAGTCCAATAGAACACCTTTGGGACGAGTTTCAAAGAAGACTGAATGACCTCTAACCAAGGCCGACAACTGCGGCTGATCTCGATCAGGCATTTCGCAGAGTATGGACTCGAGTGCCTATGGCCTTCATCAACCGGCTAATTCATTCCATGTACAGACGATGCAACGCCGTCATCGATGCCCATGGAGGCTACACATGATACTGACTTTGAAGTATCCTAATGGAACCATTTTTGGTGATTTTGTTTGTGTGAGCTCTAAATGTGACTTCTGAAAATGTGTTAACCATTATTGTCGAGTTTGAACTCAATCCTTCGTTTTGGTTGTTAATTAGCGCGAATTAAAGTTTGTGCATTAAGAAACCTCTATCGGTGTGAAGTTACTTTTGCGGTTCAGTATATTTGTAATGCGTCAACACAGCCACAGAACGCATTAGGCCATATATTATTTATTTGCTTCATGTGGCTTATTTGCTTACAGGGCGGTATCTACGTGTTCGTGTTGATCGACTGGTATGTGGCAACCTTCAGTCTCCTCCTTGCCGCGATCATGGAGTGCGTCATCATCGGCTGGATATACGGTATGGCAGTTTGATAAATATACACCCATGTTTGATGGAGCCTAAAAGTGAACCTGACAAGAAATGGTTTTTCGATGATGTTGTATTTAATACGGGTGCATATGTGTTTTGGACATTACGATTGCGGTGTTCCAGGGTGTTTACAGCCTAGTCTCACTTTGATATCGTTTTTAATACTTTGGCCTCATCCAATGGGGTACTGAAGGTTGAGATATGGGATACCAGTTGTGTTTTCATTCTGATATTTCTATTTATATTAGGAGCTATGCAATTATTCAAATTTGTATTTTCAATGCACGTAGATGTCCGTATGGAAACATAAATTATCTGATATGTACATACAAGGTTTATACCAAGCCACGCTCGATCTTAAAATAATTGTCAGTTAACAGCTGATTTGTATTCGGGGTATTTCGCTTTTATCGAGACAGATATTCAGAATAATACTTTGGCATATAATAATCATATTGCGATAGTTTCCTGACTATGAAAGCCTCCCGAAATAGGTCACTTGCAGTACAAACAGAGACACCCAATCAGACACCCTTAATATACTGTTATATACTTCAGCATCATGATAACCACTGTCACTTTTTAAACATGCGTTCTGTGTTGATTCAGGTGCTGTTCGCTTCAGTCGCGATATTGAGATGATGCTGGGACGAGAACCACCCGTCTTCATCAAGTTGCTCTGGTGCTTCGTGACCCCGATTATTTTGTGTGTAAGTTTTATACATACAATCCTACGGTTACCTTAGCCCTAAGACTTGCATTATTTTGGGGTTCGGCTCAAACAGTACCTGGAATTGTTAGCAAGACTACTTGGGAAAGCGTATCATTATTATTCTGTAAATATGTACTTCTTCTGAAAAAAATGTATTAGATTATCCTCTCTTCTCATCTGCTGTGCAACAATAGCTGTCATTTGTGTACATATGTGATATCGTCATTTTACTTCCACAGCTTGTGTCACTATTTATATTCATGTACATATTAACATCATGTATGTGCTCTGAGTAACATCAGGCATATTGTAAATCTTCGGATGTAGATTTTGGAGGAAATAAAGAAATTCATTTATTCATTCATTCATTCATTCATTCATGGGAGTTACGGTCGCCTTAGCGCTAAGACTACCTTAAGTCTATGTTAAGGTATGAGAGTTACGGTCTCCTTAGCGTTCAGATAGCTTTGTGCAGCCACCCTCTCTTTTATAGTGTCTCCCAATACTTACTGGCAAACAAGGATAAGTTGAGCGCCGTCCTGACCTGACACGTAAAGTGTTGTTCGACTTGCTACGCCGACGTGAGAGTCTTATGAGCAAGACGTGTGCAGCTACGCGCGGAATCAATTTCATCGTCATGCAATGCACGTGCACTAAGCCTACATGTGCTCTACCTTTCACAAACCAAATGGGTTAGCTCATTGCCGTGCACCGCCTACTTCTCGTAAACGCGTTCTCTGCGCCGGTGCAACTTATCCTTGTATGTTCATCATATTTTATGTTCTCCAACAGTACTCCTTCCTTACGTTTCACATTTAATTTTCACTAGACAAAAGATTGTATAATTCGATGTTTCAGGTTTGCTTTGTCATGTCTGTGGCTCAGTATGAAGCTCCAACGTACGGTGACTATGCATATCCGGCATATGGCGTTGCCATGGGGATCTGCATTGGTCTGGCGTCCATGGTGCCGTTGCCAATATGTGTGATCCGAAGACTGTCAAAGGCAAAGGGGACACTTCTAGAGGTAAGACGCTGCATGCAATATCACATACCCTATTGTTATGCGCATGTGCATGCACTATACATGGAGGGTAGATGGGTTAGCCCAGTGGCTAAAGCATTCTCTTGTCACCATGATGACCCGGGTTCGATTTCCTATTTGGGTACAATGTGTGAAGACCATTTGTGGTGTCCCCTGCTGTGATATTGCAGGAATATTGTTAAAAGCGGCGTAAAACCGTACTCACACACTATGCATTGATATATGCAAGTTGACTATTATTTTATTATTATTATGAAAGGATATCCAGGCTATAAGATTATGAAATGACAGTGTAGGTCATGAACGCCCTGGTGTTGTGTAACACAGCAATCAGCAATATTCCAGCTATATGGAATTATATATATACCACCAGTGTCATCAGCCTTCACACGACAAGCAGACTGAAGACCAATTCTAACGGTTGTCTCCCATTAGTTACAGGTGCCATTAGTTACACAGTTTCAAATTGCCAATTGTTACACAGTCAGATTAGAACAATACCCACGGCCTTAACAGACTCTTCCATACTGATGAGCTAAAGGATGAACGCCCATGCCAACTCCTTCAATAGTCAACTCCTTCAGTTGTCAACGCGTGGTATATGCGTCGACTGGGGAATTAGCTCATAATTAAGATGAGGTGTACGTACAATACGTTGACGAAGACGAAGGAATACGTTGAGCTCAAACTTCTTTATTTACATGACAAACAAATACACAAGACATAAATGAGGTGAGCGGAGTAGCTGCTCACCAGAGGGCGTTTCCTACGAGCGGCATTATCCTGCTCGTGGTCGTCCCAACACAGACAGTCGGAATACCGGACTCGTACTCTGTTTTTCCATATACATGTAGATGTGAGCACATATATATATATACAGTTTTTGACAACAGTGGACAGGTGACGACTCAGCAATGGACAGACAGAAAAACAATAGCATTTCCTTGACCCGTTGATGTGATGGCTGACACGGCCAAGGGGGATGACCAATTAGGGCTATAAATGTCATATACAATAATTAATTGGCTGACAAGTCATTGTACAATGCAGTAGTGATAAGAATTTACAGTAGTGAATAAGAATACAGATTAGCGTGATATAAATTATTACAATAAAGTCTCACGTGTCTTGACTACATAGTTTTTGGACTTTTTAAATATGTGGACGATGGCTGTCCTGAATTAGTCGCTATGACAACAACACAAAGCTCTTTCCATGTTATTCCACTCAATGCGAGATTATCTCTTTCATTAGCTTTAGATACAAATTACATACAACACTAAACTCTTTCAATGTTATTCCACTCAATGCGAGGTTATGTCTTTCATTAGCTTTAGATACAAATTACATACAACACAAAGCTCTTTCCATGTTATTCCACTCAATGCGAGGTTATGTCTTTCATTAGCTTTAGATACAAATTACATACAACACTAAACTCTTTACATGTTATTCCACTCAATGCGAGGTTATGTCTTCATTAGCTTTAGATACAAATTACATACAACACAAAGCTCTTTCCATGTTATTCCACTCAATGCGAGGTTATGTCTTTCATTAGCTTTAGATACAAATTACATACAACACAAAGCTCTTTCCATGTTATTCCACTCAATGCGAGGTTATGTCTTTCATTAGCTTTAGATACAAATTACATGCAACACTAAACTCTTTCCATGTTATTCCACTCAATGCGAGGTTATGTCTTTCATTAGCTTTAGATACAAATTACATACAACACAAAGCTCTTTACATGTTATTCCACTCAATGCGAGGTTATGTCTTTCATTAGCTTTAGATACAAATTACTTACAACACAAAGCTCTTTCCATGTTATTCCACTCAATGCGAGGTTATGTCTTTCATTAGCTTTAGATACAAATTACATACAACACTAAACTCTTTACATGTTATTCCACTCAATGCGAGGTTATGTCTTTCATTAGCTTTAGATACAAATTACATACAACACTAAACTCTTTCCATGTTATTCCACTCAATGCGAGGTTATGTCTTTCATTAGCTTTAGATACAAATTAAATACAACACAAAGCTCTTTCCATGTTATTCCACTCAATGCGAGGTTATGTCTTTCATTAGCTTTAGATACAAATTACATACAACACAAAGCTCTTTCCATGTTATTCCACTCAATGCGAGGTTATGTCTTTCATTAGCTTTAGATACAAATTACTTACAACACAAAGCTCTTTACATGTTATTCCACTCAATGCGAGGTTATGTCTTTCATTTGCTTTAGATACAAATTACATACAACACTAAACTCTTTACATGTTATTCCACTCAATGCAAGGTTATCTCTTTCATTAGCTTTAGATACAAATTACATACAACACTAAACTCTTTACATGTTATTCCACTCAATGCGAGGTTATGTCTTTCATTAGCTTTAGATACAAATTACATACAACACAAAGCTCTTTCCATGTTATTCCACTCAATGCGAGGTTATGTCTTTCGTTAGCTTTAGATACAAATTACATACAACACAAAGCTCTTTACATGTTATTCCACTCAATGCGAGGTTATGTCTTTCATTAGCTTTAGATACAAATTACATGCAACACTAAACTCTTTCAATGTTATTCCACTCAATGCGAGGTTATGTCTTTCATTAGCTTTAGATACAAATTACATACAACACAAAGCTCTTTACATGTTATTCCACTCAATGCGAGGTTATGTCTTTCATTAGCTTTAGATACAAATTACATACAACACTAAACTCTTTACATGTTATTCCACTCAATGCGAGGTTATGTCTTTCATTAGCTTTAGATACAAATTACATACAACACAAAGCTCTTTACATGTTATTCCACTCAATGCGAGGTTATGTCTTTCCTTAGCTTTAGATACAAATTACATACAACACAAAGCTCTTTCCATGTTATTCCACTCAATGCGAGGTTATGTCTTTCATTAGCTTTAGATACGAATTACAAACAAAACACAAAGCTCTTTACATGTCATTCCACTCAATGCGAGGTTATGTCTTTCATTAGCTTTAGATACAAATTACATACAACACTAAACTCTTTACATGTTATTCCACTCAATGCAAGGTTATCTCTTTCATTAGCTTGAGATACAAATTACATACAACACTAAACTCTTTACATGTTATTCCACTCAATGCGAGGTTATGTCTTTCATTAGCTTTAGATACAAATTACATACAACACAAAGCTCTTTCCATGTTATTCCACTCAATGCGAGGTTATGTCTTTCATTAGCTTTAGATACAAATTACATACAACACAAAGCTCTTTCCATGTTATTCCACTCAATGCGAGGTTATGTCTTTCATTAGCTTTAGATACAAATTACATGCAACACTAAACTCTTTCAATGTTATTCCACTCAATGCGAGGTTATGTCTTTCATTAGCTTTAGATACAAATTACTTACAACACAAAGCTCTTTACATGTTATTCCACTCAATGCGAGGTTATGTCTTTCATTAGCTTTAGATACAAATTACATACAACACTAAACTCTTTACATGTTATTCCACTCAATGCAAGGTTATCTCTTTCATTAGCTTTAGATACAAATTACATACAACACACTAAACTCTTTACATGTTATTCCACTCAATGCGAGGTTATGTCTTTCATTAGCTTTAGATACAAATTACATACAACACAAAGCTCTTTACATGTTATTCCACTCAATGCGAGGTTATGTCTTTCATTAGCTTTAGATACAAATTACATGCAACACTAAACTCTTTCAATGTTATTCCACTCAATGCGAGGTTATGTCTTTCATTAGCTTTAGATACAAATTACATACAACACAAAGCTCTTTCCATGTTATTCCACTCAATGCGAGGTTATGTCTTTCATTAGCTTTAGATACAAATTACATACAACACAAAGCTCTTTACATGTTATTCCACTCAATGCGAGGTTATGTCTTTCATTAGCTTTAGATACAAATTACATACAACACTAAACTCTTTACATGTCATTCCACTCAATGCGAGGTTATGTCTTTCATTAGCTTTAGATACAAATTACATACAACACTAAACTCTTTCCATGTTATTCCACTCAATGCGAGGTTATGTCTTTCATTAGCTTTAGATACAAATTACATACAACACAAAGCTCTTTCCATGTTATGACACTCAATGCAAGGTTATGTCTTTCATTAGCTTTAGATACAAATTACATACAACACTAAACTCTTTCCATGTTATTCCACTCAATGCGAGGTTATGTCTTTCATTAGCTTTAGATACAAATTACATACAACACTAAACTCTTTACATGTTATTCCACTCAATGCGAGGTTATGTCTTTCATTAGCTTTAGATACAAATTACATACAACACAAAACTCTTTACATGTTATTCCACTCAATGCGAGGTTATGTCTTTCATTAGCTTTAGATACAAATTACATACAACACAAAGCTCTTTCCATGTTATTCCACTCAATGCGAGGTTATGTCTTTCATTAGCTTTAGATACAAATTACATACAACACTAAACTCTTTACATGTTATTCCACTCAATGCGAGGTTATGTCTTCATTAGCTTTAGATACAAATTACATACAACACAAAGCTCTTTCCATGTTATTCCACTCAATGCGAGGTTATGTCTTTCATTAGCTTTAGATACAAATTACATACAACACAAAGCTCTTTCCATGTTATTCCACTCAATGCGAGGTTATGTCTTTCATTAGCTTTAGATACAAATTACATGCAACACTAAACTCTTTCCATGTTATTCCACTCAATGCGAGGTTATGTCTTTCATTAGCTTTAGATACAAATTACATACAACACAAAGCTCTTTCCATGTTATTCCACTCAATGCGAGGTTATGTCTTTCATTAGCTTTAGATACAAATTACTTACAACACAAAGCTCTTTTATGTTATTCCACTCAATGCAGAGGTTATGTCTTTCATTAGCTTTAGATACAAATTACATACAACACTAAA